GTAGGGATGTTATTGTAATGTTTAAACCAGGTATTACTTTTGTGGTGGAAAAAACCTTAATTGACGAAGGGGGAAGATACGTCATCATAAAAGGCAAATGTCAAGGCAAAAAGCTAATATTAGGAAGTGTGTACTTTCCCACAAGGAATAAAGAAAACGCCCAATGTGATTTTCTGTCTGATCTAAATGAAATAATATTCTTTGTATTTAGTCAAGAATATTTCTTGGTAATTGGAGGAGACTTCAATGTAATTATGGATCATAATTTGGATTACATGGGTGCAAGTAATATTTCAAAAAGCAAATACAGGGATTCATTAGTAGACTTTCTTGATAAGCTTGATTTAATTGATGTGTGGGGTAAGCGTCACCCTAATAAAAAAGAATTCACTTGTATACAAAAGCAGGCATTAGTTCAGAGTAATAGTAGACAAGTTGGTAAGAAATTCTGAGATTTTGCCTTCTATTACACCTGACCATGCTGGAGTTAGAATAGAATTTAACAATTTAGTCGATGATAGTTTTATTTATGGGAAATCGTATTGGAAGTTCAATAGTAGTCTATGTAATGAAAAAGATTTTGTAGCTGGGGTAAAAAAAAAAAAAAAAGATTTCTGAAATAGAGGAAACGTGGCGGAATAAAATAACGAGCAAAATTAAACTTTGGGATTTTATGAAAATGAAATTAAAAGAATATTATACTGAAATTCTCCCGTGAAAGAGCAAAACTCAGAAGAGTCCACATTAAAAAATTGGAAAAAGAAATTAAAGACCTAGAATATCGATTGGCGATCAATAATAATTGTCATAAAAGTATTCAGGATGAAATAGACATGAAACAAAATTGAATTAGAGAAGCTTTTCGACTATTCACGTCAAGGGTTAAAAGTCCGTTCAAGGGCAGAATGGTCTGAAGAAGTTTTTTGAACAATTACTAAAGTCAAATAAAAGGAAAAGTGTGATTGAGGAGATATATAATGAAAAAAAGGAAGCTGTGAGGGATGGCAAAGGGATTTTGAAGATTATCAGGGAGTTTTACGAAAATTTATATGCATGTAAAAATGATGAAATTACAGAGGATATTGAAAAAATGTTCTTAAATGAATTAACAAAAATTAAGTAAAGAAAATAAAGATTATTGTTAAGGCTAGATAACACTGGCAGAATGCTATCAAGCAGTGAAGGAAATGAAATTGAACAAATCACCAGGCAATGCCGGCTTCTCGGCTGAGTTTTATTTCACGTTCTGGCCAATTTTAGGGGAAACATTAGTGGAGGCTTTTAATTAAGGCTTTGAAACAAAAATGTTATCAAACTCACAGAGTGTGGGGGTAATTACACTAATTGAGAAAAAAGGCAAAGACCCTTTGTACATGAAAAACTATAGATTATGAAATATTGTCGAAAGTATTAGCTACAAGGGTAAAGGAGGTATTGGAGGATATTATTCATTATTATTTGGTGGGCTATGTTTAAGATCGGAATATTGGGGAAGCAGTTCGGTTAATTGATGATACATTCTTTCAATCCTTGTATCAGCCTGTAGGCTTTTTAATTGCCGAAGATTTTGAAAAGGCATTCGACTGCATTACCCATAAACTTTTATTTAAAGCTTTAGAACAGTTTGGGTTTGGTAAAGTTTTGTGTTCTTGGGTTAAAACCCTCTACATTAATGTTAGCAGTTGCGTGATGAACGGTGGACACTCAACAGGATATTTTGGAACTAATAGAGGGGTAAGACAAGGTGACCCCCTATCTCCATATTTATTTGTAATAGTTATCGAATTACTAGCTCGTTATATTAGGAAAGATGAGAGCATTAAAGGCGTAAGATTTGGGAATAAAGAAATAAAGCAAGTTTTGTATGCAGATGATATTACATTGTTTTTAAAAGATATGGATTCAATTGATAAAATGAAAACAGTTTTAAAAAACTTTGAAAAATTAAGTGGATTGAAGATAAATATGGTTAAGACAAATGTTATGTGGTTAGGAGAGGAAAGTGATAGGCCGGGTTTACCTTTTTTGGACATAGGGTACAACATATAAAGACCCTAGGGGTATATTTTGCACGTCATTCCAAAATAAAAGATGATTTGAACTATAAGGACATTTTGAGCAAAATCAAAAGACTAATCGGTTGGTGGAATTAGCAACGAGATTTAACGATGTTTTGCAAAATTAAATTGTTGAAGATATATGTATTTTCAAAATTAAATTATGTTTCGTCTCTTATGACAGTCCCACAGAACATTTTTGAAGAAATCGAAAAGATTTCTTTTAACTTTATTTGGGGAGGGAGAGACAGAATAAAACGGAAAATATTATATTAATATTACTGCGCTGATGTCGAACTATTTCAGAAAGGTATACTTCAAGCATCAGATATAATTGTCAGAGGTCATTTAAAACCGATCTTACATTTTTTTAATTTGGGTTTGCCAACTGAAAGCTTGCTTAGAATTCAAAAGATCTTTGTAGCAATCAGAAAAGAATGGATACAAAGTAATTTTAAAGTTGACACTGAATTTTTTTAAATAGAATTGATGATATTTGGACGTTTACAGAAACTATGTGATATATAGGCGGTTATATGATTACTTCATTGAAGAACTTCAAAAAGAGTATACTTAACATGTTACAGGCGGTAACTGTCAATTTGATCTTGGAATGACGGAGTTGAGAGAAACATTCACAAGGATGAAATGTGCAATGCTATGTAATAAACAAAGCGAGTTTAAATACAAACAATTTCAAGAGGCTGTATATACGAAAAGAGAGCTCTTTAAATTTGGTTTTGAGTCAGACCATTTTTGTTCCTTTTGTAGACAAGAAGTAGAGACATACTAACATTTATTTTTAGATTGTCTTAAAGTTAAAAGATTATGGCAGGAGGTAATTCAAAAGTTACATTTAATCGAAATTGACAGTGAAGATTGGAAACCCATTTTTACGGGAATATCCGACAATACTGCTAGAATATTTGTAATAAATTGTATTATATTTCTAGTAAAGTATATCATTTTTATTTATAGAAAAAGAAGGAACTCTGCCATCTGTACAGAAAGTAGTACATATGATTAAAGATTACAGAGACGAGGAATACAAAAAAGCCTTCAAAAAGGGGAAACTGGGGATGCACTTACAGAAATGGGAACAAATCGATGCATTTTTACTTTAATGGATGTGGGTATTATTATTATTATCAATTCTCTCTCTTGTACAGGTGGACACACCGGAACAGGTTGCATGCAGTGTGTGTGTCGGCGTGAAGGGGGTGTGAGGTGGGTGGGCTAGGGGGGGGGGGGCGGTGAAGAGTTTGTGTGGTGTGAGTTGAGCGTGTGCGAGTGTGTTGATTGGGTCGGGCTAGGTAAAATTCATACCTTCCTTTATGGTTGTTTTGATTATTAACTGTTACATGAAAGAACAAATGTGCAAACATGTATGATCTGAGATTTTTCTATGTTCATTGTAATTCATGAAATGTTTTGTATCGTACGTAGATCTTGCTTTGTATTACATACTATGATAATTCTTATGTAATGTGAATTTTTTGAGGAAGGAAATCTCCGGAACAGGTTGCATGCAGTGTGTGTATTTGTGTGTGTGTGTGTGTATTATTCCCCTTCTTGCTCACTGTTTTGTGAATTAAGAAAACAAAATTAAATTTTGTATTTGTATGGAATTATTCCTATTGATTCTTTATGTAATGATTTATTTTGAATGAAATCTTTAATCTTAAAAAAATGGAAAAAAAACCAAAGTATATAGTATATATTTGTTTTCCTGAGTTAATAAACCCTACCCTATTAAGATGAAGTCAAGATCATACATTTTGGGTAGGACATTTTGATTCTAGGGCTATTTTTGTGAGACAAGGAAGTTTTCATTTTTGGTTGGCACCCCTATTCACGGTTGAAGCAGGGAGAAATATACATGTGACGGTTGTATATACAATCAGCGACATGTGTTGAACGCATAAATAGGTGACGCACAAGTCTATTGTATAAGTCTTTGCTATCATGTTATTATAAATAAAGTAATGATAATGATAATAAACTAATAACAACGACATATAATCAGAATATCAAAAAGAAATTTGTATCGATAAAAATGCCTTTGTATGCATCAGTCATTATTCATGTGAGGACAACAGAGAATAGTCAACCAAATAATTGTTTTTTAGTCAATGAATAGATCATGTTTTAATAATGAAAGAGTACGTTAATACAGGGAAGGAAAGTTTTTCTCAGTTACATAAGCATGCCCGTTTGAAATGACCCTGTACAATACAAAGTAAAGAACGATATAATCTCTATAGCAAAAATATCGCCTTTATTAAAGAGTGTTTATCAAATTGTATTTTAGATGAACGTTTAAAAAACAGAAAGAAATGGAGAAAGAAAGAGGGAGAGAGAGAGAAACAGAGAGAGAACTAGGGATATTCGGGGGAGCTTGTTAGCACTTGTTGAGATATGTGCCCCTCCCCCTCCCCCCTTGATGGATTGAGAATTCTGAAGTGTTAACCTTTTCTTTCTCACTCTCTCGTTCAGATAGACCTGGTAAACCATAGCAAAAATAACAAATATTGCTGCGCGTTCTTACTGAGCTTATGAAGATGGTCTCTCTTCAAAGGAATTAAAGGGATAGTTGAGTTCTTTTTTCAGATCGCAAATGCCTTCAAAGTTCTGGGTTATTGCTCTTATTCTTATCTATGACATTTTAGTGCCCTTTTAGAACCTAAAATTGCTATGAAGGTAATTTTAGACCCCAAAATGTGTGAAATTTAGCCACACGATCATTCCAATTCAGCTCCCCTTTAAACAAAATACGGTGACAGTTAATTAATTATTTAATTAAAAATAACAATACATGGGCCAGCTGGTTGTGCGTAATATCACCATAACGAAAATGCCAACAAAAAAAGCGGACATTGGCATTGGCTGAAATACGACGTAAAAGGCGCTATTTCGTTTTTTTAACGGCTTTTTCAAATTATCTCTTATTTGTGGTGGTACACAAGTATTAGAAATCGTTATATTTATGCATATTTCAGCCGTATCTGAACCGATTTTCCTGAAACAAAGGTGACTTCGTCATTTAAATTGTGTGTTCTTTCAAATTTGACATATCAGTTTTTCATCATCTCACAAACAAAATAGGTTGTGTAGCACCCTCTGCAACAGAACTCAACTATCCCTTTAAGGTAACAAAATTAGCACAGTGGTTAGAAACCTAGGGTTAGTAAAATTTAGGCAATTCGTAATGTTGGGGGGGGTATAGACTAGGGGACGGCCCTGGAATCCAACTTTTGTCAAAATGTGTTAAGTCTCTTCGCGTTGGTAGCACTGCTTATTGACACGGTGTGTGGCACATGATAGGTAGAAATTTCGTGTAAAATGGGTAGTTGGCGGGAATGATTGCGGATTTGAAAAGAGGAATTTTTTTAAAGAGCATGAAATTGATGTAAAGGGGTGATATTTAATCACAAACATGTGAACGCGTATATTTTATTTTTCTTCTCGAAAACAGGCTAAAGGGGGCTATTTTTTGTGTTTGTGTACTCGATATTAAAGCTAAACATATGGATTGTATCTAGAGCCTAATCTTTGTACCAGCTCTTGGGCAAAATGGATCATGTTTTCTTTATTTGTGGGGAAAATGTTCTTGAAAGTATGCACAAAATAGGGTCCTTTTCGACTCCACTGTAACGATCGCGCGTCACACCTATTTATATGAAGTGACATCACCCAACCGTGAATGAATAAACGGCCAAGCGAACGTGCAGAAAAAAGCCTCTATATATCTTAGCTCCCAGTCCGCCCCAAGTTCAGTGTGTCCGCTGCCTTATATCATCTATTTGTCCTTGAGTTTGGCCAGGAAATCAGATAGAGCCTGGAGGACATTTTTCTTCTTCAAGTCAGCATCCTTCTTGGCATTGGATCGTTCTTCAGCAGCCACCTGTTTGTAAGAAAATAAAACACAATGATAATAATGATGATGATGATGATGATACTCCTGCTGTCAGCGTGAGCAAATCACATTCAGCAGTCATGCTTCTATATCTCTGTGAGGGTCTTTCACACTGTCCAAGCTCACTCCGCGAACTCACAACCAGTCGAGTATAACACATAACCATATGAAGAAATGAATCGATTACTAACATGACTTGAAAAATGTGACCAAGTTATTTACAAAACGGTCAAATTCAAAATGCTGCAATTAATCATTCACACATATATATCATTTTTTTATATTTATCATTTTCTCTGACCTGATAGAGGATAACCTGATGGTACTTGCGATTCCACATTGGACAAATCGGAATCAGCGTAAATATGTAAACACAAACAAGAAGTTGGCGTTTAGGATCTATGTAGCTGTACTGTAAGTGGAACTGAGGGACAGGATGGAACCAATGGTCCAGGTCTATCCAGGGACAGGTGCTGACGTCAGACAGACAATTAAGTCGTTGTCAGGATACTAAAGCAAGAGATACCCACATTAAAGACAAAGCTTAGGATTGACATTTATCATTGAATTGTATTAATATTGGGTTTAGGATTCATATGTTTGTCAAATGGCTCACTTGTTCTACTACTACTACAGCGGCGGATCCAAGAATTTCTTACCGGGGGGGGGGGGCACAAAATCGCTAGGGATGAAATATATGAAAAACGATGGAGCGAAGCGACAGAGCAAGGCGTCAGTGGCGAAGGAGCGGAGCGACCCAGTGGGGTGGTTCTGGGAGGGGGCCCCACCTTCTCCCAGGGTAGGAAGCATTTGGAATTTTAGAACCAAATTAGGCGCATTTTCAGGCACTTCCTGGAGTAATATCACGTAAAATTGCTTTCTCCTACCCCCTCTAAGAGTAGGGATCAAGGGGCAGATCTAGCTTTTTGCTAAGGGAGGGGGCGGGGTTTGACCCAATGACGATGCCTCCACGAGCCGCGAAGCGGCGAGGCGATTTTTATGGTGCTATTTTGAACCCCCGTATTAAAGTGATGTTTTCCTAGCATCTATATACTAACATAATGGAGACCATGAAAAGCAGTGCATGATAGCGTCTTTTTAAATCAAGTAACATTTTAAGATCGGGGTTGACCTAATGTCGACGCGAGGCATCGATCACAAGCCGCGTAGCGGCGAGGCGATTTGTAAAGCTATTTTGAACCCCCGTAAATGATGTTTTCCTGGCATCTATATACTAACATAATGGAGACCATAAAAAGCAGTGCATGATAACGTCTTTTTAAATCAAGTAACAGTTTAAGGAGGTATGACCCAATAACGATTCACGTGCCGCGAAGCGATTTTCTTGTTGCTATTTTGAACCCCCGTATTTAAAGTGATGTTTTCCTGGCATCTATACTAACACAATGGAGACCATAAAAAGCAGTGCATGATAACGTCTTTTTAAATCAAGTAACAGTTTAAGGGGGGTTTGACCCAATGAGGATGCGGATACTCTGTGGGTCTGATGACGTTTTACTATGCACATAACATTTTAACTAATTCTAATTCTAACCCCCCTAAAAATTCTTCCAAAGTACATTAACAGCTTACTACAGTAACATATACAATTTCCACAATTCATCACTTCTAGATCCTTTAAACTGAAGGGGAAATGGTTGAAGTTCAAACTGGAAGCAATAATCATTACATGTAGGCTATGGAAAATGTGCTTGCGAAACGGATATAAACTTTGCAGTAGCACGATTGAACTCTTCGTGGCCACAGGGATGACAGAAAATAATATGAAAATGAAACGAGGAACTGGGGAATGATTAATGGCGGGACAATCTACTGAAAGAGCACTTAGAATAGGTATATCGGAAAAGTAATTCAAGACTAAGTTATTAGTTACAAGTTAGAAGTTATAAAGGAGATACAATTTTTGGTATTAGTCATGTTCGACTTAGAATTGCGTGCCCCCCACCCATTTCCAGGTAAAAAACACCTTTTTAAAATACCATCCCCCTTTCTTTCTTTTTCCTTCTCATTATTCTCCTTTCCCACTTTCCTCTCCTCCGTATTTCCCCCTTTCTTCCTTTTCCGCCTTTTCTCTCCTATCTCTTCCCTTCTTTTCATTTCCCCTTCCTTTTTCTCCTTTCCCCTTTTCTCTCCTCCCTCGTTTCTGCTTCTTTCTCTCTTCCCTTTTCTTTCTCCCCTCCTTTTTTCTTCTCCTTTTTACCAGGGGAGGGGTGGGGGGCACGTGCCCACTGTGCCCCCCCCTGGATCCGCCACTGTACTACTACTACTACAACTAAAATGTTGTTTTCCCAAAGAAGCCTTATCATCAGCATTGCCGCGCTTCCTTAGGGTCCTGTAGTTATTACCCCAACATTTGTTCAGTACCCATTTGCACCTGAGTGGAGAGTGGCATGTCTTGGGCTGGGATTCGAACCATCAATCCTTGGATTGAGGATCTAGTGAATGACACCTCCACGATACGTCACCGGACTGAGAATCACAATATTGGGGCGCAGTTCGAGTTTCGCCGCGGAGCTAATGTCCTTTAGCAAGACATCGATCTACATTTGCCCCTCTCCACCCGGATGGAAGTAAATGAGTACCTTGTAAGAATTCATTCATTGTTTTGAGCGCTTTATGGCAGCTTGAGTAAAGCTAGGATTTAATAAAGTAGTACTTTTTAGGCGCCTCGAGCATCTTCTGGGATTGATATGTGCGCCATATAAATTTAGCTATTATTATTTTTGTTATAATTTGTGTATAAGTATCATTAAGAGTTAATAAGTTCCTCGGTGAAACAGTATGGATTAGTTCAATCAAAGCATCATTGGAAAGTACATTAGTTATACTTTATGAAATAATTATTATCATCCTGCTCATAGATCACTCATAGTAATCGTTTGTCTTCAGGTTTCGTCTTTTTTTCTGGGATGCGCTTTATATACAGTTTACAACTAAATTATTCATAGCCTTACCAAGTTTTGTAATTTTCAGCGAATGTGAAAAATGTATTTGTTACAATTGTTTGTTTGTATATGCTTATATGTAAATGTGTAGAGGTGTCGTGGTCTAATAGATATGTCCGCGGTTCGAGTCCCACCACGGCACTAATGTCCTTTGCCACACTAGACCCAGGTGAGGTAAGTTGGTACCTGGCAGGAATTATTTCCTTGAAATGCTGGAGCACCGTAATGGCAGCCATGCTAAAGCCGGTGTAATAATTTCCGAAGCTCTTTGGAAGCGCAAAGAGACGTTATAATGTGATATGCGCTATACAAGAACCGAATAATATTAATATTATTATAAAGTATTCCATAAAGGCCCTTGTTCACTTCTTCCACCTTTCATTCTTGAGTAATTACATCCACCTCATGGTGAAGACTGGTCTGTTTTCTGTCCAATGATACCCTATTCATAATATTTCTGAAACGGGTGACTGAGCACTAGCGTCTTTAGAAAAAAAGTGTTGTCAAAATTGCCTTGTACCAAGTCTTGACTGATGCAACGAATGCGGGTCAGGCAGTATGCATGTGATTCTTTGGTCCTAAATCCTCTTAAAAGTTACATTATGCCTCGTGATTCAATGATTAATTGTTTAAAATGATACAATGTATCTAGGCTTTCACAGAAACTTGTTTCAATCCATAGGATATCCCTTAATGATTTTGAACAGCCTACTAACTTCCTGTCTCATGATATCTAAGTTCTCTCTGCTCATTTTCCGTTGCGGCAGTTCAGACGCATAAGGAGCATAACGTTTTTATCTCAAATAGCGAATTAAAACTCATAGGTTACTAAACCCTAAGGTAAGAAAGAACACATATGAAAATAAATATGAAGGAAATTGACCGTAGACTTTAATAATAAGATAACTCTCCCTAAATAAACTTTATCCAATTTCGTATCAGCCAATGAAAAGGGTTACCTTAAACATGGGATGCGAATGAAGTCAAGATTGCAATCATCATAGTGAAGTAACTATCGTAAATTTAGCTTGTAATAGGCATTTGCTTCAATTTTCTTTGCAACTGCCTTATAGTCAGTGACTATCATTGCAAATGAAGTGAGCATTTGTTTTGGAAAGAGATAACACAAACATAATTGTTTTTGACCCACGTTCATTGCTTCAGCCCAAACTTTGTACAAGAGGATTTTGACAATACTTTTAAAAAGCCAACCGTGTCAGCACACTTATGAATAGGGTGTCATTATACATGGTATTAGTTACCCTTTACCATTTTAGTATGATTTAAAGTCACATAGGTTACAACATTTTAGTTAGAAGCTACTAAAGTTGGGAACACTTTTTCGATACGTACTGTGTATATTTATATATGTACACACACATGGTGCATTTATTACATGTAGTTGAAAGCAATACATCTTTTTAAAATCCATTCTTATCTGTCTTTGAAGATGATCCTTACCTGTTCTTCGATGTTATGATATAACTCCAATTCCCCCATGCTGCGTCTTTCAGCTGATACAATATTTACGGTAAAGGGGAGATACAAAAAAAAAAAAAATTAAATTCATTCTTGTTGCATTAATTGTATTTAAAAAAAAATTACTATTCTTTCATTGAATATGCATAACGTCGGGGTCTGAGTGAGAACTACACATGTACATTCCGTCTTTCCATTTTTTTTAAAACCTCAGTCTTTTTTTTTAATCATTAAACTCTACATACCCTATATAAATAATTGCACTTAAACATATATTTATTAAATGTTTAACCAGGCAATCTCAGCTCTGAATGAAAATGATAATACTACTAGAATTGAATTTCATATCACATTGTCGTTAAAAAGAAAATTGAAAAAAAAAAGAAAAAACAAGATATTATTGAACTATTGCAAAAACAAACAAATACGATCGTATTTCGACAATTCATCCGAAAACATAATTGTCAAATGTGTTAGTTAAAATATGCTTTATAATTCATAATACTTTTGTTTTCATAAAAGGCAGCTATCAAATAGAAATATAATGGCTGTATTTTTGTAGTATTTGTTGAATAATAGGTAGCTACAATCAGGCGCGTACGCAGGGGGTGGGGGAAGGGGGGGGGGGGGGGTTTTGGGGTTAAACCCCCCCCCCCTTAGTTTTGTTTATGTGTATGTTTTGTGTATGTTTCTTGTTAAACCTCCCCCTCCCCCCCCCCCCCCTTTTGATGTTTTTATTTTTTTTTTAAATGCCAATGGCTGACCTAAAAAAGGTGACCTTACCCCCCCCCCCCCCCCAACGGAACAAAATGTCAAATTTTCAAATTTCGAGACAAAAAAAAAAGTGTCGTCTTAACCCCCCCCCCCCCCCCCCCCCTCCTGTGAATTCGGGCCTATAAGTCTAAACTTATCCATACAACCCTATCGCACACTCTACTCTAATCCTATATCTAGCTTGTCGCGGTTCTAGAAGAATTCATTCTGTCTATTTTTTGGATTGTCTGCACGCCCTTTGATTTAATTTATTAAAACCGATTTATTTTGGAGTCGGCGAGGTCGAGTGATTAATGATTTGTTATTATTTATTTGTATTTGCTTAGAGGCAGGTGATTAGGGCCCCCTTCAACCCCCCCCCCCCCTCATTAAAATCGCTACTGCCGTGATGACGAAACCAATCATGGAAGAATAGTTATCGGAGCAGGAGTACAAGACAGGGATTGTTTGGAGATTTACGTGATTTACCTATGTCACATATGACTCCAGCATCATCAGAGTGAAGGCAATTGTGGAAACCGATTGCGCTCTTCATGCAGTCCAGTATTGAAGTTTCGTCGCCTACACATCTCACTCTGTCCAGAAGGATGGGTCCTGAGCCTGCGCCAAAAGTCTTGGCATCTCTCGTGGCACGAGAAGCTCCAGGGAAGCCTAACTGCCTGCACACTACATCAGCGTCGTTGATCCCCCAAAGATTGTCGCATACTGTTCCCCATTGCTCATTTATATAGACCTCGACTCGACCTTGATTGGCGGAGCTACCTGATCCAGCAAGTCGCACCTCTGAAAGGGATATTTGCATTGAATATTTGAAATGAAATAATTCTGCAATGGTCATTAAAAATGGTTAACAATTGGGCTTATAAAAATGCCACGTACCACGACGACGTATCGCCACAAAACACCACGTAAAACCAGGTATAGCCACTTTAAGTCATGTAAGGCCATGTAACACAATGTATCACCATGTAACAACGATAACCACGTAACGACACGTAACAACACGTTACACAATTTCTTTCAACGTGTTGCCAAGTACTGGTATCTTTATTTTATTAGCTGGATAACATAAACTTCGTTTTTTTTTTTTTTTTTTTTTTTTCAAGTGCGTGCGACAAATGTCCTATGAGCATCCACAAAGCTTTGTGTTGCAGCATATAGAAATATGGAGCATATTAAGCCTACATTTACGTCATCATTTTGTTTTTAAATCAATAGAACCGCCTTGGTTTACCGCCTCAAATATGAGCGAGGTTTTATGGCTATGTTTTATGTGGAAATGTTACTGAACCGTTAACAACTTGAACAAAGACCACGACTTCTAATCCTCTCATTTTCGGTGTATAGTTTTGCTTAAAAGGAGAGTCGAGTTCTTGTTTAAGACTGCAAATGCCTTCAAGGTGCATGGTTAGTGCTCTTATTCTTATTTATGACATTTATAGTGCCTTTTTAGAACCTAAACATTGCTATGAAGGTAATTTTAGACCCCAACAAGTGTGAATTTAGATTAAATACAATCATACCCATTCAGCTCCACTTAAACAAAAACAAAATGCGGTGACCGTTGATTAATTAATTTATTAATAATAACAATACACGGGCCGGCTGGTTGTGCGTTTTATAACCAACACGAAACAGCCAACAAAAATCCAATGTTGGCATTGGCTGCCGGAATAAAACGTATAAGGCGCTATCTCGTTTTTCAATGGCCGGTTACAAATTACCGAATGTTTATGGGGCACCACAAATATCAGAAATGGTTATATTTACTGATTATGATCTAACAAAGATGATTTCGTAATTTAAAATGTATATTCTTTCCATTTTTACACTTATTGTTTTCATTATCTCACAAACTAATTATTTTGTGCAACGCCCTCTTCAACAAAACTAAACTATTCCTTTAAACAGGAGAAAGCATGTACAGGAGTGACAACAGTGGAACAGCTACAGTAGGTATGCCCCCTTCTCTTCCCTTTATAAAGGGATGAACAAACGATCCCGAAAGGGAAAAGGATGCACGGCAAAAGACGAGAAACTGAATTGTAGAGCTTGTGCCCACCACTCCCCTCTGCCAGAGAACCCTGGATTCGCCTCTGATATATTTAAATTGAACACCTCTCGTGAGGTTCATTCTCACTGGCTGATTGTCAGAAGAGAAGAAGAAAGTCCCATTTTGTTCAACCCTCCCTGGTATTTCCCCTGAGAATGTATGGACAGAGAAGGATTATTGAATTTTCATCCATTGGTTTTTTTACTTGAGAGTCCCCCAAAGAAAAAGGCTATTACCATCACATCGCATTACATTATTTTCGTCGTCTTTCAGCAAATCATATGAGCGTCTTTTACTTTTTATAATATTAAGTACGTAAAATAGAATAATCTCACCTGCACCACGAGAAATCCCTGTGGAATGTGAAAAGGAAAACAAAAGAAAGATTTATGAAAAATAAATTTTCTCGGTGATTATGATTTTGCATAATATTTACAATTTAGCAAGTCAGTGTGATCCCTTAAAAATGTTTAAATACTAGGTGAAAATGGAAACTTAAATCCTGTTTACCAAGGGAAGCCTCATCATTATCATCAATGCTGTAACTTCTAGTGGCCCCGAAATAACTACCCCAGTAATTGCCAGGTATCAATTTACACCTGGCTGGAGATAAGTGTCCTGCCAGAGGACGTTAGTGCCAGACTGGGTTTCGAACCCTCAACCCTAGGATTACGAGTTAAGCGAATGAACCACTTCATCATGAAACCACGGAAACCGAAACCAGTTCTTTCCATAATGCCTCTAGTATATGCATTACATGATATTTGTACCTACATTCTTATTGCCCACACATATGTCTTAAGGGATTAATTGATGTGAGCAAACAATTTTCCATGTTTGATTGCACAATGGACCAATACCCCCAACATGGATGCATGAATTAATTTGTAGGTTTGTTTGATGGTTTGTATTATCTGACTGCTAAGAAAACATATGTAAGCTTGTAAGTAAGCAACCCAGGGGCCAACGGCTAAAGTTATATATCCCTGCTCCGAGGGAGGTTCATGGCGCCTACAAAGTATTATCATCACCGTAGCTTTAAACCAACTGCCCTAAGGCCCAAAAATCATGCAGGGAATATTTTCCCACAAGGTACCCATTTCCTAAACCTGGGTAGAAGGTCTGCACGGACTTTGCTTGTTATAATCGTTTTGTTTCGGGGTGGGAGAGGTCGAGTGCTTGAAGATGTGTATTGATTTAGTTTTATTTGTACTGCGGCAGGGGATTTGAGCCCCCTTTAATCCCCCCCCCCCATTAGAATCGCTACTTCCCTGATTACGGAACCAAGCACGGAAGATTATTTTTCAGAGCAGGAGCAAAAGTCGGAGTCTGTTTAGAGATTTAGCTGATTTACCCTGAGCAACGCGACATATCACTCCAACATCATCAGAGTGCTGGCAATTGTGGACACCCATTGCGTTCTTCGGGCAGTCCATGATTGAAGTTTCGTTGCCTACACATCTCGTATTGTCCATAAGGATGGGTCCTGAACCGGCGCCGAAAGTCTGGGCGTTCGTGTAGCCATAAGCTCCTGGGAAGTCCAACTGCCTGCACACTACATTAGCGTCTTCCTGCCCCCAAAAATCGTCACATACTGTTCCCCATTGCCCATTTATATAGACCTCAACTCGACCTTGATTGGCGGAGCTACCTGATCCGGCAAGTCGCACCTCTGAAAGGAATAATTGCATTGAATATATAAAATGAAATGATTCTGCAAAGGTCATTACAATTGGTTAATAATTGGGCTTATAATAATGCCACGTACCAGCACGACGTATCGCTACATAACATTACGTAAAACCAGGTATCGCCCCTTCACGTAAGGATATATAACAAAATGTATCATCATGTAACAACGATAACCACGTAACGACACGTAAAACATGTAACACAATTTCTTCCAACGTATTGTCACGTACTGGAACGTACTGGTATCTATATTCTATTAGATGGATAACATTAACTTCGTGTGTTTTTTGTTACTACTAACGTATGAATATATGACAAGTGCGTGCAACAAATGTCCTATGAGCATCTACAAAGCTTTAATACGGTGTTACAACATAAATAAATATGAAGCATATTAGGCCGACATTTACGTCATCATTGTTTTTTTAATAAATAGAACCGCCTTGGTTTACCCCCTCAAATATGAACGAGGTTTTATGGCTATGTTTGATGTGGAAATGTAACTGCACCGTTAACACTTTGACAAATATTCCACAACTTCTAACCCTCTTATTTTCGGTGTATATTATTGCTTGAAAGGATAGTTGAGTTCTTGTTTATAAGACCGCAAATGCCTTTAAGGTGCATGGTTATTGCTCTTATTCTTATTTATGACATTTCTAGTGCCTTTTTAGAACCTAAAATTGCTACGAAGGTGATTTTAGACCCCAAAATGTGTGAATTTAGATTGAATACGATCATACCAATGCAGTGCCAGTTGAATGGTTATATTAACCGATTTCGATCAAACAAAGATGATTTTTTAATTTAAATTGTATATTCTTTCAAATTTGACACTTAGTTTTTCATTATCTCACAAACAAATTATTTTGTGTAGCGCCCTCCGCAACAGAACTCAACTATTCCTTTAAACAGGAGAAAGCATGTACTGCATTTGTCATACATGAGTGACAACAGTGGAACAACTACAGTGGGTACGCCTCCCCCCCCTCTCCCGTTATTTAGAAATTCGCCGCTGATATATATAAATTGAACACTTCACGTGAGGTTCATTCTCACTGGCTGATTTTCAGAAGAGGAGAGGAAAGACCCATTTTGTTCAACCCACTCCCCGGTATTTCCCCTGAGAAAGTTTAGACAGAGAAGGATTATTAAATTGTCATTCATTTATTTTTGGACTTTACGATCCTCCCCCCCCCCCCTCCCGAAAAAAAGGCTTTTAACATCACATCGCATTACATGTTTTCTTTCGTCTTTCAGCTTACAACATCAGCGTACTTTACTTTTCATAATATTAAGTACGTAAAATAAAATATTCTCACCTGCACCACTAGAACTTCCTGTGGAATTTGAAACTGAAAAAAGAAAGATTCGTGAAAAAATCATTTTATCGGTGATTATGATTTTGCATAATATTTACAATTTAGCAAGAAAGTATGATCTCTTAACAATTTAAAAAAAAATCCTGTTTACCAAGGGAAGCCTCATCATCATCATCAATGCTGTACTTTATGATGGCCCCGAAATAACTACTGCAGTAATTGCCAGGTACCAATTTACACCTGGCTGGAGATAAGTGTCCTGCCAGAGGTTATTAGTGCCAGACTAGGTTTCGAACCCTCAACCCTAGGATTACGAGTAAAGTGAATGAACCACTTTACCATGAAACCACGGAAACCGAAACCAGTTCTTTCAATTATGCCTCTATTTAATGAAATACATAATATTTGTACCTATACTCTTATTGCCCACACATCTATCTTGAGGGATAAATTAACGTAAGCAAAAAACTTTACATGTTTGAATGCACAATGGACCAATACCCCCCCCCCCCCCCCATCCCCCTCCAAAAAAAAAATGTTAAAAAAAATGGCTGCATGAATTAATTTGTAGATTTGTTTGATGATTTGTATTTCCTGACTGCTAAGAAAACATGTGTATGCTTGTAAGTAAGCAACCCGATGCTGACGGCTTTAAGTCATCTTGGAGTGAGGTTCACAGCGCCTACAAAGTGTTTTCATCACCCTAGCTTTATACCAACTGCCCTAGGGCGTGAAAAGCATTCAGGGTATAATTTCCCACAAGGTACCCATTGACTTAACCTGGGTGGAAGGTGACACATTTAGATTAATGTCAGGCCAAACGACATTACCGCCGCGACAGGGGTCGAACCCCGAACCGTGTGATCCACGATTCGGTGAGATATCCTCTAAACCACGACAATTCTACGTATGTTTAAAACTCCATGCCTTTAGCATAAGTTACTATGAGTAAAATCAGCAAACTTTGAATGAGTTTGCTGCTATCCCATAGGATACCGCAGGAAGGTGATGGCTATCATGGTAAAATGTGTTAAAAAACAAACATAATTATACACATCTTTATGAGAGAGATATGTTTATTCATATAAACCACACTTCTCCCATCGCTCATTAGGTGGGGTGATGGGGCGACAATTGCTCAGTGGTTCACATTCTGCACTAACCAAGTTTCTATCTTCGAATCGGGATAAAACAGAAAAAGTTGTCCCTATAAGCATAACTTATCCATTAAACCCTATCGCACACCCTACTTTATTTGATGTCGCGCCTAACAGCCAGCAGCACGTTCGTTTGAGCTCTCTACTAGTGAATCATATTATTGGATTTAGCTGACCAATTGGTGCATTATTTGTTTCAATCGTCTTGTGAACACACATAGCATCTTTTGGATAAGTTTGAGACAAGTTTGGTATGTTTTGATGATGTGTTTTAATGACAACGATATCTTGTTCATTAGATTTATTTCATGAAAATGCAATAAATTTTCAATAATTTATTGCACTTTACCCCGGTTCCCCCCCCCCCCCAAAAAAAAAAAAAAAATCCTCTATGTGCCCATGCCTTGAGCCATAATGCATGGCCGTCCAGAGGATTTGTTTATGTTGGGGACTGGGGTAAAATGCAATAAATTATTGAAAATTCATTGCATTTTCTGTTTTTTTTTAATATATTTTTTATGGAAACTGCCCCCCACCCTAGCCTCCGCTGCGTACAGTCATGGTTCAGTGTCAAAGCAATGGCCTCGTAACTGTGAGGCCCATGATCAAAACCGTGTCGATGTGCTATATTAGTGCCCTTTTGTGGGGCATTAATCCTCATTACTGTCATTTATGACTTAAGCGCGTAGGTCCCCTAGTTGATAAGCATAGTAGCATATACATGCTTTAGCAGTCACGCAAAATACACATTGGCAAAATTATTATTCAATAAAATCTGAGAATGTATACTATTATCTAGATCTAATATTTTTAAATTATTCTTTAAATAATTCCATAAATTGGGGTAAATCAAAAATATTCCAACTATATGAGCGACAGTGGAGATACACATTGAACCACACTACTCCCTTCGTTCATAAGTTGAGTTGATTGTACGACCCATGTTTGGCAACAATTTTTCCGTGGTCCAAATACTGCACTAACCGAGTTTCTAACTTCGTATAAGGACCAAACATAAAAAAGTTAACACAATGGCCCGAATTCACAAAGGAGGTTTGTCGACAAACCTCCTTTTGTTTCGACAAACCTCCTTTTATTATTTACAAACTAGGTTTGTAAAAAACGCGTCAAAACGTGTCATATGACGTACATAAATCTCGGTTTGTCGACAAACCTCCTTTGTGAATTCGGGCCTATAAGTCTAAACTTATCCATACAACCCTATCGCACACTCTACTCTAATCCTATATCTAGCTTGTCGCGGTTCTAGAAGATTTCATTCTGTTCATTTTTTTGATGAAGTCAGGCCTTTGGGCTCTTACATGGATTGTCTGCACGCCCTTTGATTGAATTTATTAAAACCGATTTATTTTGGAGTCGGCGAGGTCGAGTGATTAATGATTTGTTATTATTTATTTGTATTTGTTTAGAGGCAGGTGATTAGAGCCCCCTTCAACCCCCCCCCCCCCCCCCTCATTAAAATCGCTACTGCCGTGATGACGAAACCAATCATGGAAGAATAGTTATCGGAGCAGGAGTACAAGACAGATTTTGTTTGGAGATTTACGTGATTTACCTATGTCACATATGACTCCAGCATCATCAGAGTGAAGGCAATTGTGGACACCGATTGCGCTCTTCATGCAGTCCAGTATTGAAGTTTCGTCGCCTACACATTTCACTCTGTCCAGAAGGATGGGTCCTGAGCCTGCGCCAAAAGTCTTGGCATCTCTCGTGGCACGAGAAGCTCCAGGGAAGCCTAACTGCCTGCACACTACATCAGCGTCGTTGATCCCCCAAAGATTGTCGCATACTGTTCCCCATTGCTCATTTATATAGACCTCGACTCGACCTTGATTGGCGGAGCTACCTGATCCAGCAAGTCGCACCTCTGAAAGGGATATTTGCATTGAATATTTGAAATGAAATAATTCTCTAATGGTCATTAAAAATGGTTAACAATTGGGCTTATAATAATGCCACGTACCACGACGACGTATCGCCACAAAACACCACGTAAAACCAGGTATAGCCACTTAAAGTCATGTAAGGCCATGTAACACAATGTATCACCATGTAACAACGATAACCACGTAATGACACGTACCAACATGTTACACAATTTCTTCAGCGTGTTGCCAAGTACTGGTATCTTTATTTTATTAGCTGGATAACATACATTTACGTCATCATTTTGTTTTTAATCAATAGAACCGCCTTGGTTTACCGCCTCAAATGTGAGCGAGGTTTTATGGCTATGTTTTATGTGGAAATGTTACTGCACCGTTAACAACTTGAACAAAGACCACGACTTCTAACCCTCTCATTTTCGGTGTATAGTTTTGCTTAAAAGGAGAGTCGAGTTCTTGTTTAAGACTGCAAATGCCTTCAAGGTGCTTGGTTATTGCTTTTATTCTTATTTATGACATTTATAGTGCCCTTTTAGAACCTAAACATTGCTATGAAGGTAATTTTAGACCCCAACATGTGTGAATTTAGATTAAATACAATCATACCAATTCAGCTCCACTTAAACAAAAACAAAATGCGGTGACCATTGATTAATTAATTTATTAATAATAACAATACACGGGCCGGCTGGTTGTGCGTTGTATAACCAACACGAAAACAGCCAACAAAAATCCAATGTTGGCATTGGCTGCCGGAATAAAACGTATAAGGCGGTATCTCGTTTTTCAACGGCCGGTTACAAATTACCGAATGTTTATGGGGCACCACAAATATCAGAAATGGTTATATTTACTGATTATGATCTAACAAAGATGATTTCGTAATTTAAAATGTATATTCTTTCCATTTTTACACTTATTGTTTTCATTATCTCACAAACAAATTATTTTGTGCAACGCCCTCTTCAACAAAACTCAACTATTCCTTTAAACAGGAGAAAGCATGTACAGGAGTGACAACAGTGGAACAGTTACAGTGGGTACGCCCCCTCCTCTTCCCTTTATTATTTTCGTCGTCTTTCAGCAAGTCATATGAGCGTCTTTTACTTTTTCATAATATTAAGTACGTAAAATAAAATGTTCTCACCTGCACCACGAGAAATCCCTGTGGAATGTGAAAAGGAAAACAAAAGAAAGATTTATGAAAAATTAATTTTCCTCGGTAATTATGATTTTGCATAATATTTACAATTTAGCAAGTCAGTGTGATCCCTTAAAAATGTTTAAATACTAGGTGAAAATGGAAAATTAAATCCTGTTTACCAAGGGAAGCCTCATCATTATCATCAATGCTGTACCTTCTAATGGCCCCGAAATAACTATCCCAGTAATTGCCAGATACCAATTTACACCTGGCTGGAGATAAGTGTCCTGCCAGAGGACGTTAGTGCCAGACTGGGTTTCGAACCCTCAACCCTAGGATTACGAGTTAAGCGAATGAACCACTTCATCATGAAACCACGGAAACCGAAACCAGTTCTTTCCATAATGCCTCTAGTATATGCATTACATGATATTTGTACCTACATTCTTATTGCCCACACACATGTCTTGAGGGATAAATTGATGTGAGCAAACAATTTTCCATGTTTGATTGCACAATGGACCAATACCCCCAACATGGATGCATGAAATAATTTGTAGGTTTGTTTGATGGTTTGTATTATCTGACTGCTAAGAAAACAGATGTAAGCTTGTAGGTAAGCAACCCGGGGGGCAACGGCTAAAGTTATCTCCGAGGGAGGTTCATGGCGCCTACAAAGTATTATCATCACCGTAGCTTTAAACCAACTGCCCTAAGGCCCAAAAAGCATGCAGGGAATAATTTCCCACAAGGTACCCATTTTCTAAACCTGGGTAGAAGGTCTGCACGGACTTTGCTTGTTATAATCGTTTTGTTTCGGGGTGGGAGAGGTCGAGTGCTTGAAGATGTGTATTTATTTAGTTTTATTTGTACAGCGGCAGGGGTTTTGAGCCCCCTTTAATCCCCCCCCCCCCCCCATTAGAATCGCTACTGCCCTGATTACGAAACCAAGCACGGAAGAGTATTTTTCAGAGCAGGAGCAAAAGTCGGAGTCTGTTTAGAGATTTAGCTGATTTACCTTGAGCAACGCGACATATCACTCCAACATCATCAGAGTGCTGGCAATTGTGGACACCCATTGCGTTCTTCGGGCAGTCCATGATTGAAGTTTCGTTGCCTACACATCTCGTATTGTCCATAAGGATGGGTCCTGAACCGGCGCCGAAAGTCTGGGCGTTCGTGTAGCCATAAGCTCCAGGGAAGCCCAACTGCCTGCACACTACATTAGCGTCGTTCTGGCCCCAAAGATCGCCGCATACTGTTCCCCATTGCCTATTGGCATACACCTCAACTCGACCTTGATTGGCGGAGCTACCTGATCCGGCAAGTCGCAACTCTGAAAGGAATAATTGCATTGAATATATAAAATGAAATGATTCTGCAAAGGTCATTACAATTGGTTAATAATTGGGCTTATAATAATGCCACGTACCACGACGACGTATCGCCACATACCACCACGTAAAACCAGGTATCGCCACTTCACGTAAGGATATGTAACAAAATGTATCACCATGTAACAACGATAACTACGTAACGACACGTAAAACATGTTACACAATTTCTTTCAACGTATTGTCACGTACTGGAACGTACTGGTATCTATATTTTATTATCTGGATAACATAAACTTCGTGATTGTTTTTTTAATAATAACGTATGAATAAATGACAGGTACGTGCAACAAATGTCCTATGAGCATCTACAAAGCTTTAATACGGTGTTACCACACATATAAATATGAAACATATGAAGCCTACATTTACGTCATCATCGTTTTTTTAATAAATAGAACCGCCTTGGTTTACCCCCTCAAATTTGAACGAGGTTTTATGGCTATGTTTTATGTGGAAATGTAACTGCACCGTTAAACATTGACAAACATTCCACAACTTCTAAACCTCTGATTTACGGTGTATATTTTTGCTTAAGAGGATAGTTGAGTTCTCTTTTAAGACTGCAAATGCATTTAAGGTGCATGGTTATTGCTCTTATTCTTATTTATGACATTTCCAGTGCCCTTTTAGAACCTAAAATTGCTATGAAGGTGATTTTAGACCCCAACATGTGTGAATTTAAATTCAGTGCCAGTTTAATGGTTATATTTACCGATTTTGATCAAACAAAGATGATTTTGTAAAATAAATTGTATATTCTTTCAAATTTGACACTTAGTTTTTCATTATCTCACAAACAAATTATTTTGTGTAGCGCCCTCCGCAACAAAACTCAACTATTCCTTTAAACACGAATCTAGGGATTCGCCGCTGATATACATAAATTGAACACTTCACGTGCAGTTCATTCTCACTGGCTGATTGTCAGAAGGGGAGAGGAAAGACCCATTTTGTTAAACTCCCTCCCCGGTATTTCCCCTGAGAATGTATGGACAGAGAAGGATTATTGAATTTTCATTCATTGATTTTTGGACTTTAGGGTCCCCCAAAGAAAAAGGATCTTAAATTCACATCGCATTACATTTTTCAGCTTATAACATCAGCGTACTTTACTTTTCATAATATTAAGTACGTAAAATAAAATATTCTCACCTGCACCACTAGAACTTCCTGTGGAATGTGAAACTGAAAAAAGAAAGATTCGTGAAAAAATCATTTTATCGGTGATTATGATTTTGCATAATAATTACAATTTAGCAAGTCAGTGTGATCAATTAAAAATGTTTAAATACTAGGTGAAAAATGAAAACTTAAATCCTGTTTACCAAGGGAAGCCTCATCATCATCAATGCTGTACTTTCTGATGGCCCCGAAATAACTACCCCAGTAATTGCCAGGTACCAATTTAAACCTGGCTGGAGATAAGTGTCCTGCCAGAGGACGTTAGTGCTAGACTAGGTTTCGAACTCTCAACCCTAGGATTACGAGTAAAGTGAATGAACCACTTTACCATGAAACCACGGAAACGGTAAACCAGTTATTTTACTTATGCCTCTATTTAATGAAATACATGATATTTGTACCTATAATCTTATTGCCCACACATCTATCTTGAGGGATAAATTAACGTGAGCAAAACGACTTTCCATGTTTGAATGCACAATGGACCAATACCCCCCAAAATGGCTGCATGAATTAATTTGTAGATTTGTTTGATGATTTATATTACCTGACTGCTCTGTAAGCATTATGTAATAAACTATTGAACACATTGACAATTTCATTACTTGACAACTCAGTATAAACATCGTCTCAACCATAATCAACAATCCATTGGCCAAATTCTTTTATGGATGAGTCTTTTAGTGGGCGGGTAAGTATAGTACTTCTGTTCTTTGTTACTAGTTCATAATTGGCTTCAGCAAGATGGAGCAGTGGTCACTGGTGGTCACTGAAAAATTTGAATGAGAAATGACTTTCCGTTATAAAGATATGACCATGAGTTGATTTTTACAAAATGGCGCCAGGATGACGTCACGATGACTTTGAGTCACTGAATAGTCAGAAAAATCAGAACTGATTTTATTATTTACTATATAAATCTATGTATCTACCTATTATTTGCTAGTTTATCTAAACTACGCTACTTTCGAGAACTCTTTAAAAACGTCACACTCGCGCATGCCCCCACCCACATACATCGCCTTCGCGTGCGCATCGTACGTCCGCCATTCATCCTCTTTCACGAGCCTCCAAAGACATAGCTTCGGACATGTTGCCCGCAAGGAGAGGGGACGGAGAGAGGGACATAGGTAGATACATAGACTTATATAGTAAATAATAAAATCACTTCTGATTTTTCTTATTTACCACAAAAAATCAATGTATCTACCTTTTAATATTTGCTAGACCAGCACACAAATGAACCGGGAAGCATGTCCCGAACAAGAAGGAGATTACTGGGGAACAAAGGCAGCCGAAACCGCCCGCAGGGACGCAGTTGCAAACAACACCACAACATCTTCCCAGAGGTGACATCCCCGAAGATAAAAAGACGGAAGGGAATTGGGAGACCGCCAAAACGCGGCCTTCAAAATGACACCCAAACCCACCCCCTGGAACAACGCCCAGGAAGAAACCATTACATTAGGAAATATGGGCACTGGCCCTGCCCTCTGCGAACAGGGCCTCAGGACCCGCCGCACAGTGGGCCAGGGGGGAACCAAAGTGCGCCAAAACTCATTTGTGGTGATTTATGTTTTTCGAATTTTGTTCTTGCCCAGTTGAAAAGTAACACATTGAGGAATACCTCAGTAAAATGATTAATTCCGGTATGCACAATAAGGGTATACATATACTCCTTCAAACAGCAAAATCCTACATATTCAGATATTTAGTGCAAAAGTGACTTATTTTATAAATCTTTCAATTTAACATGAAGTTCTTAAGTTATTGATATGAAATTGCTCTCACATGTTCCTGATAGTTCATTTCGTAGCATGAATTGGTTAAAATTACTAGAAACACAATCTTAATGATATATTATAAGGTAATTCACCGAAAAATGGACTACTTATCCATGGTTTTTTATAAATCCAGAGGAAATATTTAGATTTACGCGGAGTTCCGCTTAAATTTTAATACCACCATTTTGTCTTGTGTCTAAGCTTTAATTTGATACCAAATTTGGCTGCCCGATCTTGCCCGTTGTTATGTTAGAGCCGATATCCCTTGCCACATTGCCCCGATAATTGTTTGTTTGTTTTGGTCCGCGGCTGAATCATGAAGGATTCGCTCTCATAAATATTTGCAAATTGAGTTCTAAAGACAATAAATGGGGAAAAAGGGATGAGAAAGTAATGTCCCTTTTGACATATTTATCTTCATTTGGCGGTGAAAAGCTAAAATGAAGTCAAAACTTGCTTTCTAAATACAAATAATGACAGTTTATTTATAATGTTTTGATGAACAAGGAGCAATTGTTTTATATAAAAAGTGTAGTATGTAATCTGCTTTGACTCTATATCTTACCTGTTCCACACGTAGGCCCAGTATAGCCAGGATCGCAGGCACAAGTAAAGGTGTTCACTCCATCACTGCAAATTCCTCCATTCTCACAAGGATCGGGAGAACAATCGTTGATATCTGTGCAAATTCAGTTCCAAAGACAATAGATGGGATAAAGGGGATAAGAAAATAATGTCCCTCTTGACATATCTATCTTCATTTGGCGGTGAACAGGTAAAAAGAAGTCAAAACTGTCATGCTCAATACAAATAATTACAGTTCAGGGATAAATTCCTAATTTGTTTTAAATATATTAATACATAATTCAAATGAAGTAAATGAACTAAATATTTTTTGGGAAGTTAGCATCTTTTTGCAAAAACATGGCCTAAGAAAGAAAAGATATTTTGAAAAAATCTCATCGTCCCACAAAACGTAGTGTGTCCATGCCAGTTAAGAAAATGTCACTAAAACAAATTTCTTTCTTTGGGCGTAAAATGAATTTGAAAATGAACGCTAAAAATGGCATGGGAAAGTCTGATCTTCAAGACACCTCGGCACCAAAGGTTGAATCGCTATAATCATGATGAATCACACCAGTTTAATCATATCCTAAAACAAATCATAACTAGACTTTAATTCGTCACTTTGACGAATTAGGTGATACGTAAGCTTTTTTTGTATCATCAAAGTTTGCCGATGATGATCTAATGATAATATTCATAAATACGACAATGACGATATTGATAATGATGATTTTTTAGTTTTAAATGACCATGACCATGATTAAAAGTGGTATAGCGCCCCCTTCAGGTATTCGATAGAGAATTGTTATATGATTGAACTATTAATTTACTAAACAAGCTCAAATTTTCGCCTGATTGCAGAGCCTACCAATCATTGAACTACATATGCAACATAATGAACAAGTCTAGACTGGAATTTAGTACCAATCACCTCCCATAGGCATAACACGCATATTAAAAACAAAACAAAAATTGACAGTCTTTATTCATCCCAATGGACTTTTGATAGGCATGTTTTTGCCAATATATGCTATGTAATACATGAGCTCGCATGCACGTATATTTATCTTCAACGGACGCTCATTCCGTTATTAATAGTGATAAAGAAATGAACATGGTATCAAATTGTTCAGAAAATTATGAGGAATATTCTGTCAAAACTAATATACAAGGAATTATTTTTCGTTCGGCCGTGACAAACGAAAACGTGCAAAACTGCGTGTTTTGCGCGATTTTTTATGAAATGCTTATAATGGCCTTAAACGTATGCAAAAAATTTGTTAAACGATTTTGAGCAATTTAAAATTTTAAGCGCGCGTTGACGCGCACACAAACGCGTACGCGCATTTTTGCGCGCATTTATTGACCTGAAATTGACCAGACAGATATTGATCTTAATCCTGATAATTATAAATGAGAAATTCCTTTCCGTTATGAAGATATGATCATAAGTTTATTTTCACAAAATGGCGCCTGGATGACGTCACGATATTTTCATATATTTCATACGTATCACCTAATAAATAATAATAAAAATCTTGACGAAATCAATAGGTGATACGTAGACTTCGTTACGTATCACCTAATAAGTGGAATACAAATGACGAGAACAATCATTACCATTTTGACACATTTATCTTTTTTGGACGGAAAACACGAAAATCAAGTCAAAAAAGGTATCTTAAATTAGAGTAATGACAGGAAAGGAAATAGTTACTTCATTTGAAAAACTACTTATCAAAATACAAAGCATGTGAGTAAATCTATTTGGAATGGAAAGACATTTTGCTGTAAAGTGGCAGTTGCTAGAATTGCTTTTTGTATAGAAAGATGACTTTTGCAACACCTAAGCGACAAATGTTGAATGGCTAAGATCATGATGAAAAATGTCAGTCGTTTGTATCCTAAAACAGATGGTGAGCGATAGAGATCGTTGTGGGAATCAAAATTCAAATCTGCTCTGGATATGACCATGCACCCCCATTTTTCATGTGATTACTCGAAATCAAGAGAATTGCAGTTTCTCTCAATAACGAACCAAATTGTAAAGCACCCTCGAACCCTTTGTCTATTCGATCTTTCACTTATGTTCATTTTGAATTCAGAAAAACCTCAATGATTTTCCTCTCCAATGGCGTAATGTTTCTTTCTTTTTATTTCCTATATCGCTCTTTATCTTTAATTTCTTGATGAACAACGACTACAAATTTTGGTGGATTTTGCTTTACCTAAAAATGTATGTATATAGGTATGTAATCTGTTTAGAATGTGTAGCTTACCTGTGTCACACGTATTTCCTTCGTAGCCAGCAGCACAGGCACACGTAAAGTTGTTAACTCCATCAGTGCAACCTCCTCCATTCAGACACGGATTAGGTGTACAATCGTCGGTATCTGTGCAAATTGAGTTCCAAAGACAATAAGTGGAATACAAATGACGAGAACAATCATTACCATTTTGACACATTTATCTTTTTTTGACGGAAAACACGAAAATCAAGTCAAAAAAAGGTATCTTAAATTAGAGTAATGACAGGAAAGGAAATAGTTACTTCATTTGAAAAAATTCTTATTAAAATACAAAGCATGTGGGTAAGTCTATCTGGAATGGAAAGACATTTTGCTGTAAAGTGGCAGTTGCTAGAATTGCTTTTTGTATAGGAAGATTATTTGTATTTGTTTTATTAAAGCAAAACCATATATATGATTTGTTCGTTGGTGTAAAAATTATTAATATAAACCCTGTGAAGTTCTCAAAAGTGAAGAAAAAATTGATCAATATATCAAAATGAAGTAAATGATCGGATTCTATTTTTAAATGTTTGATCTTTTTCCAAAATCATAGCATTTGAAAGACAACATGTCCTGGACAAAATCATTGTCTCTCAAACTTTAATGTGGCACTGGAAGAAAATAAGAACATCACTAAAGAAAGTGATTTTTCATTTTGGGTGGAATTCAATGTACAAATGGACACAGTTGACTTTTGCAACACCTAAGCGACAAATGTTGAATGGCTAAGATCATGATGAAAAATGTCAGTCGTTTCGTATCCTAAAACAGATGGTGAGCAGTAGAGATCGTTGTGGGAATCAAAATTCAAATCTGCTCTAGATATGACCATGCACCCCCATGTTTCATGTGATTACTCGAAATCAAGAGAAGTGTAGTTTCTCTCAATACCGAACCGAACTGTAAAGCACCCTCGAACCCTTTGTCTGTTCGATCTTTCACTTATGTTAATTTTGAATTCAGAAAAACCTCAATGATTTTCCTCTCCAATGGCGTAATGTTTCTTTCGATCATCATCGGCATGCTTTCATGATACAAAAAAAGCATACGTATCACCTAATACGTCAAAGTGACGAATTAAAGTCTAGTTCCTATTATTATTTGATATATTAGTGGAAGTAGTAGTAGAAGTAGAAATATAAGTAGCAATAGTAGTAGTATGTATTCATCGATTTATTAATTTCTTCTCCTCTTTTTATTCTTCATCGTTCTTCTTCCTTTTCTTCTACTTCCTTCTTCTTTCTTCTTCTTTCTTATTTGCCTTCTTCTTCTCAATTTAAAAATAAAGTATGAACATGCAACATTCTACAAATTAACAGCAACAACATTCAACGAGCGCCTAAATTCTCTCAGATAGAGTTTGGTCTAGAGAGGAACTTCTCGGAGCTCCATGACTATTGACACTAGGGCGCGAATGTGCGCGCGTGTCGCAACTTTCACTCTAAATACGCCATGGTGCAGCTACTATTTACCTGGGGCAGGCTCAGTCATCGGAACGACCGGTGAGGGCGGGGTCGGAGCGACAGGTAAGGGCGGGGTACACAAGTCCTCGCTGTTACACACACAAACGCTTAGGCTGGAATTCAGGTACATCGGACGAAGATGGGGCGGAAGCCTGGTTGATGGGTCTGGCAAATCTGCTTTGATAATTGCGACTGTCGCATCGTCTAGGCATACGTCTCCAGCCGGGATCAACTGGCTATACTGCGCGGGGTCGCATCCTCGCTCCATCGTCGTTATGACGATGAGACCTTCTGCAAACCGATACATTAGACCACGTTATATTGCGGATGATGATGATTATAATCATAATCAGCATAATGATAATAATGATAATGATCGTGATAAAAAATAAACATCATTAGGTTTATTTCCTCTTTTTAACATCATTAAAAACCAAAACTAATTTAATCAAAATATATGTGTGTCTTAAATCTGTATTTGAGTGATCGTTGAGATGCTCTAACGCAACGTTCAAGTTTACTCCATAAAGTCACAAGCAGTCGCGTACTAGATGTCACCGTAAGCAGAAATCCCTACTCCTAGTCAAACAACCTTTTAACCTCTGCATTCGATTTAGGGGAACTTTGTATTTTTAGTAGTGAAGTCAGTGAAAGTGCCAGTTAAATATTTGTTAATTTGTTGTTCCAATTTTCTTTTGCGTAAGGTTGATGGTGGATAATAATAATACTAATATTGGATATTCATGTAGCGCACATATCCAATAATGCCAAGTTGAACGGGTTTACCTCTGCGTTCGATATAGGTGAACTTTGTATTTTTAATAGTGAAGTCAGTGAAAGTGCCAGTTAAATATTTTTTTATTTCCTGTTCGAATTTTCTTTTGAGTAAGGTTGATGGTGGATAATAATAATAATAATATTGTATGTTTATATAGCGCACAAATCCACCCTGCAAGGTGCTCAAAGCGCTCCAATATTACCCCGGCTCTGCTAGGCTACCGATTTCGGTATCATTAAAGGAATTCCTTCCTACCGGTCCCCATTTACTTTAACTGGGTGGAGTGTGGCAAATGTAGACCAATGTCTTGTCAAAGGTCATTAGTGCTGCTGCGGGATTCGCACCGCGGACCTTGTGATCGACAGTCCGGCGGCGTATCCAGTCATCCACGACACCTATACATGTCCTTGTCATGAAACTTGTGACATCTTAATCGCAATCTACCTCTCGAGGCTTCTCAAATGAGTTCATAGCAAAACTTTTCGGTGTTCTAAGACCTCATCGTTATAGTTTATTTGCTTGTTTGGTTTCTGAAATATCTATTACTAGTTTGTTCTTACCTGTCTCATGCCAGAAGTTAAGCAGTCTTATCATTGTCACGCAGCTGGCATTTCCTCCGCAATCTCTCGGTGTAGGCTCCGTACATGAGCTTCTAACGAGATATGATATGTTCAAAGCCTCGTCGTTTGTTGAATATACCGCTAAACATTCGTTGCAGGTTATGGCCTCCCCTGCATTCAGAAAAGGAATACATTAATATTCTTCTCCTTGGTGTTACTCTATCTCTTTTACCCGGTGACAATTGAATACAGGGACCTTTCGTTTATTTTAGGTATATTTCTTTTAAATACAATTACGAACAATATATATTTTATCGTTGACCAAAATTTGCTTGAACCTTATGTCTAAAAGTACATCGGGCCAGACCCATTGCATTCCCAGTTAATAAAATTATTTTTGATTCATTTCTTTGTTTTACCAGAATCCAGTGTCGTACAATAAGTGCAGGAATTATTACGTTGTAGAACATTCTGCCACTTGAAAGGACACTATTAATTTACTAAACAAGCTCAAATTTTCGCCTGATTGCAGAGCCTACCAATCATTGAACTGATATTTTGACGCACTACATACGCAACATAATGAACAAGTCTAGACTGGAATTTAGTATCAATTACCTCCCATAGACATAACACGCATATTAAGCAAAAATCTGACGTATGTCGACTTCAATCACAATTTTCACCGTAATGACGTTATCAAAATGAATAAATATTGGTAATGAACTTGTGGAGGATTGTCTCAGCTACAACATATCAAAGTTTATAAGAAAATCGATCAATATTTACAGAGATACATTCGATTTCCCATAAAGATACTGACGTCATAATGTGCGTATTCGTATTTTGACTTCCAAGGCTATTATAATGACGTCACGATGTACTTAATGGCCAAATGAGACATGAAATCATATCTCCGACTCATACTCTATCTAAACAAAAATTGGCAGTCTTTATTCATCCCAATGGACTTTTGATAGGCGTGTTTTTGCCAATATATGCTATGTAATACATGAGCTCGCACGCACGGATATTTATCTTCAACGGACGCTCATTCCGTTATTAAGAGTGATAAAGAAATGAACATGGTATCAAATTGTTCAGAAAATTATGAGGAATATTCTGTCAAAACTAATATACAAGGAATTATTTTTCGTTCGGCCGTGACAAACGAAAACGTGCAAAACTGCGTGTTTTGCGCGATTTTTTATGAAATGCTTATAATGGCCTTAAACGTATGCAAAAAATTTGTTAAACGATTTTGAGCAATTTAAAATTTTACGCGCGCGTTGACGCGCACACAAACGCGTACGCGCATTTTTGCGCGCATTTATTGACCTGAAATTGACCGGACAGATATTGATCTTAATCCTGATAATTATAAATGAGAAATTCCTTTCCGTTATGAAGATATGATCATAAGTTTATTTTCACAAAATGGCGCCTGGATGACGTCACGATATTTTCATATATTTCATACGTATCACCTAATAAATAATAATAAAAACTTGACGAAATCAATAGGTGATACGTAGACTTCGTTACGTATCACCTAATAAGTGGAATACAAATGACGAGAAAAATCATTACCATTTTGACACATTTATCTTTTTTGGACGGAAAACACGAAAATCAAGTCAAAAAAGGTATCTTAAATTAGAGTAATGACAGGAAAGGAAATAGTTACTTCATTTGAAAAACTACTTATCAAAATACAAAGCATGTGAGTAAATCTATTTGGAATGGAAAGACATTTTGCTGTAAAGTGGCAGTTGCTAGAATTGCTTTTTGTATAGAAAGATGACTTTTGCAACACCTAAGCGACAAATGTTGAATGGCTAAGATCATGATGAAAATGTCAGTCGTTTCCTATCCTAAAACAGATGGTGAGCAGTAGAGATCGTTGTGGGAATCAAAATTCAAATCTGCTCTGGATATGACCATGCACCCCCATGTTTCATGTGATTACTCGAAATCAAGAGAAGTGCAGTTTCTCTCAATACCGAACCGAACTGTAAAGCACCCTCGAACCCTTTGTCTATTCGATCTTTCACTTATGTTAATTTTGAATTCAGAAAAACCTCAATGATTTTCCTCATCAATGGCGTAATGTTTCTTTCTTTTTATTTCCTATATCGCTCTTTATTTTTAATTTCTTGATGAGCAACGACTACAAATTTTGGTTGATTTTGCTTTACCTAAAAATGTATGTATATAAGTATGTAATCTGTTTAGAATGTGTAGCTTACCTGTGTCACACGTATTACCTTCGTAGCCATCAGCACAGGTACACGTAAAGTTGTTAACTCCATCAGTGCAACCTCCTCCATTCAGACACGGATTAGGTGTACAATCGTCGGTATCTGTGCAAATTGAGTTCCAAAGACAATAAGTGGAATACAAATGACGAGAACAATCATTACCATTTTGACACATTTATCTTTTTTTGACGGAAAACACGAAAATCAAGTTTTAAAAAGCTATCTTAAATTAGAGTAATGACTGGAAAGGAAATAGTTACTTCATTTGAAAAACTACTTATCAAAATACAAAGCATGTGAGTAAGTCTATCTGGAATGGAAAGACATTTTGTTGTATAGTGGCAGTTGCTAGAATTGCTTTTTGTATAGAAAGATTATTTTTATTTGTTTTAATCAAAACCATATATTTGATTTGTTTGTTGGTGTAAAGATTAATAATATAAACCCTGTGAAGTTCTCAAGAGTGAAGAAAAAATTTGATCAATATATCAAATGAAGTAAATGATCGGATTCTATTTTTAAATGTTTGATCCTTTTCCAAAATCATGGCCTTTGAAAGACAACATATCCTGGACAAAATCATTGTCTCTCAAACTTTAATGTGGCACTGGAAGAAAATAAGAACATCACTAAAGAAAGTGATTGTTCATTTTGGGTGGAATTCAATGTAAAAATGAACACAGTTGACTGTTGCAGCACCTAAGCGACAAATATTGAATGGCTATGATCATAATGAAAAATGTCAGTCGTTTCGTATCCTAAAACAGATGGTGAGCGATAGAGATCGTTGTGGGAATCAAAATTCAAATCTGCTCTGGATATGACCATGCACCCCCATGTTTCATGTGATTACTCGAAATCAAGAGAAGTGTAGTTTCTCTCAATACCGAACCGAACTGTAAAGCACCCTCGAACCCTTTGTCTATTCGATCTTTCACTTATGTTAATTTTGAATTCAGAAAAACCTCAATGATTTTCCTCATCAATGGCGTAATGTTTCTTTCTTTTTATTTCCTATATCGCTCTTTATTTTTAATTTCTTGATGAGCAACGACTACAAATTTTGGTTGATTTTGCTTTACCTAAAAATGTATGTATATAAGTATGTAATCTGTTTAGAATGTGTAGCTTACCTGTGTCACACGTATTACCTTCGTAGCCATCAGCACAGGTACACGTAAAGTTGTTAACTCCATCAGTGCAACCTCCTCCATTCAGACACGGATTAGGTGTACAATCGTCGGTATCTGTGCAAATTGAGTTCCAAAGACAATAAGTGGAATACAAATGACGAGAACAATCATTACCATTTTGACACATTTATCTTTTTTTGACGGAAAACACGAAAATCAAGTTTTAAAAAGCTATCTTAAATTAGAGTAATGACTGGAAAGGAAATAGTTACTTCATTTGAAAAACTACTTATCAAAATACAAAGCATGTGAGTAAGTCTATCTGGAATGGAAAGACATTTTGTTGTATAGTGGCAGTTGCTAGAATTGCTTTTTGTATAGAAAGATTATTTTTATTTGTTTTAATCAAAACCATATATTTGATTTGTTTGTTGGTGTAAAGATTAATAATATAAACCCTGTGAAGTTCTCAAGAGTGAAGAAAAAATTTGATCAATATATCAAATGAAGTAAATGATCGGATTCTATTTTTAAATGTTTGATCCTTTTCCAAAATCATGGCCTTTGAAAGACAACATATCCTGGACAAAATCATTGTCTCTCAAACTTTAATGTGGCACTGGAAGAAAATAAGAACATCACTAAAGAAAGTGATTGTTCATTTTGGGTGGAATTCAATGTAAAAATGAACACAGTTGACTGTTGCAGCACCTAAGCGACAAATATTGAATGGCTATGATCATAATGAAAAATGTCAGTCGTTTCGTATCCTAAAACAGATGGTGAGCGATAGAGATCGTTGTGGGAATCAAAATTCAAATCTGCTCTGGATATGACCATGCACCCCCATGTTTCATGTGATTACTCGAAATCAAGAGAAGTGTAGTTTCTCTCAATACCGAACCGAACTGTAAAGCACCCTCGAACCCTTTGTCTATTCGATCTTTCACTTATGTTAATTTTGAATTCAGAAAAACCTCAATGATTTTCCTCATCAATGGCGTAATGTTTCTTTCTTTTTATTTCCTATATCGCTCTTTATTTTTAATTTCTTGATGAGCAACGACTACAAATTTTGGTTGATTTTGCTTTACCTAAAAATGTATGTATATAAGTATGTAATCTGTTTAGAATGTGTAGCTTACCTGTGTCACACGTATTACCTTCGTAGCCATCAGCACAGGTACACGTAAAGTTGTTAACTCCATCAGTGCAACCTCCTCCATTCAGACACGGATTAGGTGTACAATCGTCGGTATCTGTGCAAATTGAGTTCCAAAGACAATAAGTGGAATACAAATGACGAGAACAATCATTACCATTTTGACACATTTATCTTTTTTGGACGGAAAACACGAAAATCAAGTTTTAAAAAGCTATCTTAAATTAGAGTAATGACTGGAAAGGAAATAGTTACTTCATTTGAAAAACTACTTATCAAAATACAAAGCATGTGAGTAAGTCTATCTGGAATGGAAAGACATTTTGTTGTATAGTGGCAGTTGCTAGAATTGCTTTTTGTATAGAAAGATTATTTTTATTTGTTTTAAGCAAAAACATATATTTGATTTGTTTGTTGGTGTGAAGATTATTAATATAAAGCCTATGAAGTTCTCAAGAGTGAAAAAAAAATTGATCAATATATCAAATGAAGTAAATGATCGGATTCTATTTTTAAATGTTTGATCTTTTTTCAAAATCATAGCATTTGAAAGACAACATGTCCTGGACAAAATCATTGTCTCTCAAACTTTAATGTGGCACTGGAAGAAAATAAGAACATCACTAAAGAAAGTGATTTTTCATTTTGGGTGGAATTCAATGTAAAAATGGACACAGTTGACTTTTGCAACACCTAAGCGACAAATGTTGAATGGCTAAGATCATGATGAAAAATGTCAGTCGTTTCGTATCCTAAAACAGATGGTGAGCGATAGAGATCGTTGTGGGAATCAAAATTCAAATCTGCTCTGGATATGACCATGCACCCCCATGTTTCATGTGATTACTCGAAATCAAGAGAAGTGTAGTTTCTCTCAATACCGAACCGAACTGTAAAGCACCCTCGAACCCTTTGTCTATTCGATCTTTCACTTATGTTCATTTTGAATTCAGAAAAACCTCAATGATTTTCCTCTCCAATGGCGTAATGTTTCTTTCGATCATCATCGGCATACTTTCATGATACAAAAATAGCATACGTATCACCCAATTCGTCAAAGTGACGAATTAAAGTCTAGTTCCTATTATTATTTGATATATTAGTAGTAGTAGTAGTAGTAGAAGTAGAAATATAAGTAGCAATAGTAGTAGTATGTATTCATCGATTTATTAATTTCTTCTCCTCTTTTTATTCTTCATCGTTCTTCTTCCTTTTCTTCTACTTCCTTCTTCTTTCTTCTTCTTTTTTCTTCTTTCTTATTTGCCTTCTTCTTCTCAATTTAAAAATAAAGTATGAACATGCAACATTCTACAAATTAGCAGCAACAACATTCAACGAGCGCCTAAATTCTCTCAGATAGAGTTTGGTCTAGAGAGGAACTTCTCGGAGCTCCATGACTATTGACACTAGGGCGCAAATGTGCGCGCGTGTCGCAACTTTCACTCTAAATACGCCATGGTGCAGCTACTATTTACCTGGGGCAGGCTCAGTCATCGGAACGACCGGTGAGGGCGGGGTCGGAGCGACAGGTGAGGGCGGGGTACACAAGTCCTCGCTGTCACACACACAAAAGCTTAGGCTGGAATTCAGGTACATCGGACGAAGATGGGGCGGAAGGCTGGTTAATGGGTCTGGCAAATCTGCTTTGATAATTGCGACTGTCGCATCATCTAGACATACGTCTCCAGCCGGGATCAACTGGCTATACTGCGCGGGGTTGCATCCTCGGTCCATGGTCGTCAGGACGATGAGACCTTCTGCAAACCGATACATTGGACCACGTTATATTGAGGATGATGATGATTATAATCATAATCAGCATAATGATAATAATGATAATGATCGTGATAAAAAATAAACATCATTAGGTTTATTTCCTCTTTTTAACATCATTAAAAACCAAAACTAATTTAATCAAAATATATGTGTGTCTTAAATCTGTATTTGAGTGATCGTTGAGATGCTCTAACGCAACGTTCAAGTTTACTCCATAAAGTCACAAGCAGTCGCGTACTAGATGTCACCGTAAGCAGAAATCCCTACTCCTAGTCAAACAACCTTTTAACCTCTGCATTCGATATAGGTGAACTTTATATTTTTTAGTAGTGGAGTCAGTGAAAGTGCCAGTTAAATATTTGTTAATTTGTTGTTCCAATTTTCTTTTTGCGTAAGGTTGATGGTGGATAATAATAATACTAATATTTGATATTCATATAGCGCACATATCCAATAATGCCGAGTTGAACAGGTTTACCTCTGCGTTCGATATAGGTAGCTTTGTATTTTTAGTAGTGAGGTCAGTGAAAGTGCCAGTTAAATATTTTTTTATTTCCTGTGCGAATTTTCTTTTGCGTAAGGTTGATGGTGTATAATAATAATAATAATATTGGATGTTTATATAGCGCACATATCCACCCTGCAAGGTGCTCAAAGCGCTCCAATATTACCCCGGCTCTGCTAGGCTACCGATTTCGGTATCATTCAAGGAATTCCTTCCTACCGGTCCCCATTTACTTTACCTGGGTGGAGTGTGGCAAATGTAGATCAATGTCTTGTCAAAGGTCATTAGTGCTGCTGCGGGATTCGCACCGCGGACCTTGTGATCGACAGTCCGGCGGCGTATCCAGTCATCCACGACACCTATACATGTCTTTGTCATGAAACTTGTGACATCTTAATCGCAATCTACCTCTCGAGGCTTCTCAAATAAGTTCATAGCAAAACTTTTCGGTGTTCTAAGACCTCATCGTTATAGTTTATTTGCTTGTTTGGTTTCTGAAACATCTATTACTAGTTTGTTCTTACCTGTCTCATGCCAGAAGTTAAACAGGCTTATAATTGTCACGCAGCTGGCATTTCCTCCGCAATCTGTCGGCCTAGGCTCCGTACATGAGCTTCTAACGATATATGGTATGTTCAAAGCCCCGTCGTTTGTTGAATATACTGCAAAACATTCTTTGCAGGTTATGGCCTCCCCTGCATTCAGAAAAGGAATACATTAATATTCTTCTCCTTGGTGTTACTCTATCTCTTTTACCCGGTGACAATTGAATACAGGGACCTTTCGTTTATTTTGGGTATATTTCTTTTAAATACAATTACGAACAATATATATTTTATCGTTGACCAAAATTTGCTTGAACCTTATGTCTGAAAGTAGATCGGGCCAGACCCATTGCATTCCCAGTTAATAAAATAATCTTTGATTCATTTCTTTGTTTTACAAGAATCCAGTGTCGTACAATAAGTGCAGGAATTATTACGTTGTAGAACATTCTGCCACTTGAAAGGACACTATTAATTTACTAAACAAGCTCAAATTTTCGCCTGATTGCAGAGCCTACCAATCATTGAACTGATATTTTGACGCACTACATACGCAACATAATGAACAAGTCTAGACTGGAATTTAGTACCAATCACCTCCCATAGGCATAACACGCATATTAAGCAAAAATCTGACATATGTCGACTTTAATCACAATTTTCACCGTAATGACGTTATCAAAATGAACAAATATTGGTAATGAACTTGTGGAGGATTGTCTCAGCTACAACATATCAAAGTTTATAAGAAAATCGATCAATATTTACAGATATACATTCGTTTTCATATAAAGATGCTGACGTCATAATGTGCGTATTCGTATTTTGACTTCCAAGGCTATTATAATGACGTCACGATGTACTTAATGGCCAAATGAGACATGAAATCATACCTCCGACTCATACTCTATCTAAACAAAAATTGACAGTCTTTATTCATCCCAATGGACTTTTGATAGGCATGTTTTTGCCAATATATGCTATGTAATACATGAGCTCGCACGCACGGATATTTATCTTCAACGGACGCTCATTCCGTTATTAATAGTGATAAAGAGATGAACATGGTATCAAATTGTTCAGAAAATTATGAGGAATATTCTGTCAAAACTAATATACAAGGAATTATTTTTCGTTTGGCCGTGACAAACGAAAACGTGCAAAACTGCGTGTTTTGCGCGATTTTTTATGAAATGCTTATAATGGCCTTAAACGTATGCAAAAAATTTGTTAAACGATTTTGAGCAATTTAATATTGTACGCGCGCGTTAACGCGCACACAAACGCGTACGCGCATTTTTGCGCGCATTTATTGACCTGAAATTGACCGGACAGATATTGATCTTAATCCTGATAATTATAAATGAGAAATTCCTTTCCGTTATGAAGATATAATCATAAGTTTATTTTCACAAAATGGCGCCTGGATGACGTCACGATAATTTTGACTCTCTAAAAAGTCAAAGAGTTCTAAGTTAGACTGAGATCTATCATCATGGCAAGTTTCATGATAATGGCTTTATTCAGTCTTAAGATATCCTGCGAACAAATTCGAGGAAGAATAATAAATAATAAATAAATAATAAAAATCTTAACGAAATCAAAAGGTGATACGTATATTTCATACGTATCACCTAATGAATAATAATAAAAATCTTGACGAAATCATTAGGTGATACGTAGACTTCGTTACGTATCACCTAATAAGTGGAATACAAATGACGAGAAAAATCATTACCATTTTGACACATTTATCTTTTTTGCACGGAAAACACGAAAATCAAGTCAAAAAAGGTATCTTAAATTAGAGTAATGACAGGAAAGGAAATAGTTACTTCATTTGAAAAACTACTTATCAAAATACAAAGCATGTGAGTAAGTCTATTTGGAATGGAAAGACATTTTGTTGTATAGTGGCAGTTGCTAGAATTGCTTTTTGTATAGAAAGATTATTTTATTTGTTTTAAGCAAAACCATATATATGATTTGTTCGTTGGTGTAAAGATTATTAATATAAACCCTGTGAAGTTCTCAAAAGTGAAGAAAAAATTGATCAATATATCAAATGAAGTAAATGATCTGATTCTATTTTTTTAATGTTTGATCTTTTTCCAAAATCATTGCCTTTGAAAGACAACATATCCTGGACAAAATCATTGTCTTTCAAACTTTAATGTGGCACTGGAAGAAAATAAGAACATCACTAAAGAAAGTGATTTTTCATTTTGGGTGGAATTCAATGTACAAATGGACACAGTTGACTTTTGCAACACCTAAGCGACAAATGTTGAATGGCTAAGATCATGATGAAAAATGTCAGTCGTTTCGTATCCTAAAACAGATGGTGAGCAGTAGAGATCGTTGTGGGAATCAAAATTCAAATCTGCTCTAGATATGACCATGCACCCCCATGTTTCATGTGATTACTCGAAATCAAGAGAAGTGTAGTTTCTCTCAATACCGAACCGAACTGTAAAGCACCCTCGAACCCTTTGTCTGTTCGATCTTTCACTTATGTTAATTTTGAATTCAGAAAAACCTCAATGATTTTCCTCTCCAATGGCGTAATGTTTCTTTCGATCATCATCGGCATGCTTTCATGATACAAAAAAAGCATACGTATCATCTAATACGTCAAAGTGACGAATTAAAGTCTAGTTCCTATTATTATTTGATATATTAGTGGAAGTAGTAGTAGAAGTAGAAATATAAGTAGCAATAGTAGTAGTATGTATTCATCGATTTATTAATTTCTTCTCCTCTTTTTATTCTTCATCGTTCTTCTTCCTTTTCTTCTACTTCCTTCTTCTTTCTTCTTCTTTCTTATTTGCCTTCTTCTTCTCAATTTAAAAATAAAGTATGAACATGCAACATTCTACAAATTAGCAGCAACAACATTCAACGAGCGCCTAAATTCTCTCAGATAGAGTTTGGTCTAGAGAGGAACTTCTCGGAGCTCCATGACTATTGACACTAGGGCGCGAATGTGCGCGCGTGTCGCAACTTTCACTCTAAATACGCCATGGTGCAGCTACTATTTACCTGGGGCAGGCTCAGTCATCGGAACGACCGGTGAGGAAGGGGTCGGAGCGACAGGTGAGGGCGGGGTACACAAGTCCTCGCTGTTACACACACAAACGCTTAGGCTGGAATTCAGGTACATCGGACGAAGATGGGGCGGAAGCCTGGTTGATGGGTCTGGCAAATCTGCTTTGATAATTGCGACTGTCGCATCGTCTAGGCATACGTCTCCAGCCGGGATCAACTGGCTATACTGCGCGGGGTCGCATCCTCGCTCCATCGTCGTTATGACGATGAGACCTTCTGCAAACCGATACATTGGACCACGTTATATTGCGGATGATGATGATTATAATCATAATAAGCATAATGATAATAATGATAATGATCGTGATAAAAAATAAACATCATTAGGTTTATTTCCTCTTTTTAACATCATTAGAAACCAAAACTAATTTAATCAAAATATAAGTGTGTCTTAAATCTGTATTTGAGTGATCGTTGAGATGCTCTAACGCAACGTTCAAGTTTACTCCATAAAGTCACAAGCAGTCGCGTACTAGATGTCACCGTAAGCAGAAATCCCTACTCCTAGTCAAACAACCTTTTAACCTCTGCATTCGATTTAGGGGAACTTTGTATTTTTAGTAGTGAAGTCAGTGAAAGTGCCAGTTAAATATTTGTTAATTTGTTGTTCCAATTTTCTTTTGCGTAAGGTTGATGGTGGATAATAATAATACTAATATTGGATATTCATATAGCGCACATATCCAATAATGCCAAGTTGAACGGGTTTACCTCTGCGTTCGATATAGGTGAACTTTGTATTTTTAATAGTGAAGTCAGTGAAAGTGCCAGTTAAATATTTTTTTATTTCCTGTTCGAATTTTCTTTTGAGTAAGGTTGATGGTGGATAATAATAATAATAATATTGTATGTTTATATAGCGCACAAATCCACCCTGCAAGGTGCTCAAAGCGCTCCAATATTACCCCGGCTCTGCTAGGCTACCGATTTCGGTATCATTCAAGGAATTCCTTCCTACCGGTCCCCATTTACTTTAACTGGGTGGAGTGTGGCAAATGTAGACCAATGTCTTGTCAAAGGTCATTAGTGCTGCTGCGGGATTCGCACCGCGGACCTTGTGATCGACAGTCCGGCGGCGTATCCAGTCATCCACGACACCTATACATGTCCTTGTCATGAAACTTGTGACATCTTAATCGCAATCTACCTCTCGAGGCTTCTCAAATGAGTTCATAGCAAAACTTTTCGGTGTTCTAAGACCTCATCGTTATAGTTTATTTGCTTGTTTGGTTTCTGAAATATTTATTACTAGTTTGTTCTTACCTGTCTCATGCCAGAAGTTAAGCAGTCTTATCATTGTCACGCAGCTGGCATTTCCTCCGCAATCTGTCGGTGTAGGCTCCGTACATGAGCTTCTAACGAGATATGATATGTTCAAAGCCTCGTCGTTTGTTGAATATACCGCTAAACATTCGTTGCAGGTTATGGCCTCCCCTGCATTCAGAAAAGGAATACATTAATATTCTTCTCCTTGGTGTTACTCTATCTCTTTTACCCGGTGACAATTGAATACAGGGACCTTTCGTTTATTTTAGGTATATTTCTTTTAAATACAATTACGAACAATATATATTTTATCGTTGACCAAAATTTGCTTGAACCTTATGTCTAAAAGTACATCGGGCCAGACCCATTGCATTCCCAGTTAATAAAATTATTTTTGATTCATTTCTTTGTTTTACCAGAATCCAGTGTCGTACAATAAGTGCAGGAATTATAACGTTGTAGAACATTCTGCCACTTGAAAGGACACTATTAGTTTACTAAACAAGCTCAAATTTTCGCCTGATTGCAGAGCCTACCAATCATTGAACTGATATTTTGACGCACTACATACGCAACATAATGAACAAGTTTAGACTGGAATTTAGTATCAATCACCTCCCATAGACATAACACGCATATTAAGCAAAAATCTGACATATGTCGACTTCAATCACAATTTTCACCGTAATGACGTTATCAAAATGAATAAATATTGGTAATGAACTTGTGGAGGATTGTCTCAGCTACAACATATCAAAGTTTATAAGAAAATCGATCAATATGTACAGATATACATTCGATTTCCCATAAAGATACTGACGTCATAATGTGCGTATTCGTATTTTGACTTCCAAGGCTATTATAATGACGTCACGATGTACTTAATGGCCAAATGAGACATGAAATCATATCTCCGACTCATACTCTATCTAAACAAAAATTGGCAGTCTTTATTCATCCCAATGGACTTTTGATAGGCATGTTTTTGCCAATATATGCTATGTAATACATGAGCTCGCACGCACGGATATTTATCTTCAACGGACGCTCATTCCGTTATTAATAGTGATAAAGAGATGAACATGGTATCAAATTGTTCAAAAAATTATGAGGAATATTCTGTCAAAACTAATATACAAGGAATTATTTTGCGTTCGGCCGTGACAAACGAAAACGTGCAAAAATGCGTGTTTTGCGCGATTTTTTATGAAATGCTTATAATGGCCTTAAACGTATGCAAACAATTTGTTAAACGATTTTGAGCAATTTAAAATTTTACGCGCGCGTTAACGCGCACACAAACGCGTACGCGCATTTTTTCGCGCATTTATTGACCTGAAATTGACCAGACAGATATTGATCTTAATCCTAATAATTATAAATGAGAAATTCCTTTCCGTTATGAAGATATGATCATAAGTTTATTTTCACAAAATGGCGCCTGGATGACGTCACGATAATTTTCACTCTCTAAAAGGTCACGCAGTTCTAAGTTAGACTAAGATCTATCATCATGGCAAGTTTCATGATAATGGCTTTATTCAGTCTTGAGATATCCTGCGAACAAATTCGAGGAATAATAATAAATAAGAAATAAATAAATAATAAAAATCTTGACGAAATCAAAAGGTGATACGTATATTTCATACGTATCACCTAATAAATAATAATAAAAATCTTGACGAAATCAATAGGTGATACGTAGACTTCGTTACGTATCACCTAATAAGTGGAATATAAATGACGAGAAAAATCATTACCATTTTGACAGATTTATCTTTTTTAGACGGAAAACACGAAAATCAAGTCAAAAAAGGTATCTTAAATTAGAGTAATGACTGGAAAGGAAATAGTTACTTCATTTGAAAAACTACTTATCAAAATACAAAGCATGTGAGTAAGTCTATTTGGAATGGAAAGACATTCTGCTGTAAAGTGGCAGTTGCTAGAATTGCTTTTTGTATAGAAAGATGACTTTTGCAACAGCTAAGCGACAAATGTTGAATGGCTAAGATCATGATGAAAAATGTCAGTCGTTTCGTATCCTAAAACAGATGGTGAGCGATAGAGATCGTTGTGGGAATCAAAATTCAAATCTGCTCCGGATATGACCATGCACCCCCATGTTTCATGTGATTACTCGAAATCAAGAGAAGTGCAGTTTCTCTCAATACCGAACCGAACTGTAAAGCACCCTCGAACCCTTTGTCTATTCGATCTTTCACTTATATTAATTTTGAATTCAGAAAAACCTCAATGATTTTCCTCTCCAATGGCGTAATGTTTCTTTCTTTTAATTTCCTATATCGCTCTTTATCTTTAATTTCTTAATGAGCAACGACTACAAATTTTGGTGGATTTTGCTTTACCTAAAAATGTATGTATATAGGTATGTAATCTGTTTAGAATGTGTAGCTTACCTGTGTCACACGTATTTCCTTCGTAGCCAGCAGCACAGGCACACGTGAAGTTGTTAACTCCATCAGTGCAACCTCCTCCATTCAGACACGGATTAGGTGTACAATCGTCGGTATCTGTGCAAAATGAGTTCCAAAGACAATAAGTGGAATATAAATGACGAGAAAAATCATTACCATTTTGACAGATTTATCTTTTTTGGACGGAAAACACGAAAATCAAGTTAAAAAAAGCTATCTTAAATTAGAGTAATGACAGGAAAGGAAATAGTTACTTTATTTTAAAAACTACTTATCAAAATACAAAGCATGTGAGTAAGTCTATCTGGAATGGAAAGACATTTTGTTGTATAGTGGCAGTTGCTAGAATTGCTTTTTGTATAGAAAGATTATTATTATTTGTTTTAAGCAAAACCATATATATGATTTGTTCGTTGGTGTAAAGATTATTAATATAAACCCTGTGAAGTTCTCAAAAGTGAAGAAAAATGTGATCAATATATCAAATGAAGTAAATGATCGGATTGTGTTTTTAAATGTTTGATCCTTTTCCAAAATCATGGCCTTTGAAAGACAACATATCCTGGACGAAATCATTGTCTCTCAAACTTGAATGTGGCACTGGAAGAAAATAAGAACATCACTAAAGAAAGTGATTTTTCATTTTGGGTGGAATTCAATGTACAAATGGACACAGTTGACTTTTGCAGCACCTAAGCGACAAATATTGAATGGCTATGATCATGATGACAAATGTCAGTCGTTTCCTATCCTAAAACAGATGGTGCGCAGTAGAGATCGTTGTGGGAATCAACATTCAAATCTGCTCTAGATATGACCATGCACCCCCATGAATCATGTGATTACTCGAAATCAAGAGAAGTGTAGTTTCTCTCAATACCGAACCGAACTGTAAAGCACCCTCGAACCCTTTGTCTGTTCGATCTTTCACTTATGTTAATTTTGAATTCAGAAAAACCTCAATGATTTTCCTCTCCAATGGCGTAATGTTTCTTTCGATCATCATCGGCATACTTTCATGATACAGAAATAGCATACGTATCACCCAATTCGTCAAAGTGACGATTTAAAGTCTAGTTCCTATTATTATTTGATATATTAGTAGTAGTAGTAGTAGTAGTAGTAGTAGAAGTAGAAATATAAGTAGCAATAGTAGTAGTATGTATTCATCGATTTACTAATTTCTTCTCCTCTTTTTATTCTTCATCGTTCTTCTTCCTTTTCTTCTACTTCCTTCTTCTTTCTTCTTCTTTTTTCTTCTTTCTTATTTGCCTTCTTCTTCTCAATTTAAAAATAAAGTATGAACATGCAACATTCTACAAATTAGCAGCAACAACATTCAACGAGCGCCTAAATTCTCTCAGATAGAGTTTGGTCTAGAGAGGAATTCTCGGAGCTCCATGACTATTGACACTAGGGCGCGAATGTGCGCGCGTGTCGCAACTTTCACTCTAAATACGCCATGGTGCAGCTACTATTTACCTGGGGCAGGCTCAGTCATCGGAACGACCGGTGAGGGCGGGGTCGGAGCGACAGGTGAGGGCGGGGTACACAAGTCCTCGCTGTCACACACACAAAAGCTTAGGCTGGAATTCAGGTACATCGGACGAAGATGGGACGGAAGGCTGGTTAATGGGTCTGGCGAATCTGCTTTGATAATTGCGACTGTCGCATCATCTAGACATACGTCTCCAGCCGGGATCAACTGGCTATACTGCGCGGGGTTGCATCCTCGGTCCATGGTCGTCAGGACGATGAGACCTTCTGCAAACCGATACATTAGACCACGTTATATTGAGGATGATGATGATTATAATCATAATCAGCATAATGATAATAATGATAATGATCGTGATAAAAAATAAACATCATTAGGTTTATTTCCTCTTTTTAACATCATTAAAAACCAAAACTAATTTAATCAAAATATATGTGGGTCTTAAATCTGTATTTGAGTGATCGTTGAGATGCTCTAACGCAACGTTCAAGTTTACTCCATAAGGTCACAAGCAGTCGCGTACTAGATGTCACCGTAAGCAGAAATCCCTACTCCTAGTCAAACAACCTTTTAACCTCTGCATTCGATATAGGTGAACTTTATATTTTTTAGTAGTGGAGTCAGTGAAAGTGCCAGTTAAATATTTGTTAATTTGTTGTTCCAATTTTCTTTTTGCGTAAGGTTGATGGTGGATAATAATAATACTAATATTGGATATTCATATAGCGCACATATCCAATAATGCCGAGTTAAACAGGTTTCCCTCTGCGTTCGATATAGGTGAACTTTGTATTTTTAGTAGTGAAGTCAGTGAAAGTGCCAGTTAAATATTTTTTTATTTCCTGTTCGAATTTTCTTTTGCGTAAGGTTGATGGTGTATAATAATAATAATAATATTGGATGTTTATATAGCGCACATATCCACCCTGCATGGTGCTCAAATTGCTCCAATATTACCCTGGCTCTGCTAGGCTACCGATTTCGGTATCATTCAAGGAATTCCTTCCTACCGGTCCCCATTTACTTTAACTGGGTGGAGTGTGGCAAATGTAGATCAATGTCTTGTCAAAGGTCATTAGTGCTGCTGCGGGATTCGCACCGCGGACCTTGTGATCGACAGTCCGGCGGCGTATCCAGTCATCCACGACACCTATACATGTCTTTGTCATGAAACTTGTGACATCTTAATCGCAATCTACCTCTCGAGGCTTCTCAAATGAGTTCATAGCAAAACTTTTCGGTGTTCTAAGACCTCATCGTTATAGTTTATTTGCTTGTTTGGTTTCTGAAACATCTATTACTAGTTTGTTCTTACCTGTCTCATGCCAGAAGTTAAACAGGCTTATAATTGTCACGCAGCTGGCATTTCCTCCGCAATCTGTCGGCCTAGGCTCCGTACATGAGCTTCTAATGATATATGGTATGTTCAAAGCCTCGTCGTTTGTTGAATATACCGCTGAACATTGTTTGCAGGTTATGGCCTCCCCTGCATTCAGAAAAGGAATACATTAAGATTCTTCTCCTTGGTGTTACTCTATCTCTTTTACCCGGTGACAATTGAATACAGGGACCTTTTATTTCGTTTATTTTAGGTATCTTTCTTTTAAATACAATTACAAACAATATATATTTTATCGTTGACCAAAATTTGCTTGAACCTTATGTCTGACAGTACATCGGGCCAGACCCATTGCATTCCCAGTTAATAAAATAATTTTTGATTCATTTCTTTGTTTTACAAGAATCCAGTGTCGTACAATAAGTGCAGGAATTATTACGTTGTAGAACATTCTGCCACTTGAAAGGACACTATTAATTTACTAAACAAGCTCAAATTTTCGCCTGATTGCAGAGCCTACCAATCATTGAACTGATATTTTGACACACTACATACGCAACATAATGAACAAGTTTAGACTGGAATTTAGTATCAATCACCTCCCATAGACATAACACGCATATTAAGCAAAAATCTGACATATGTCGACTTCAATCACAATTTTCACCGTAATGACGTTATCAAAATGAATAAATATTGGTAATGAACTTGTGGAGGATTGTCTCAGCTACAACATATCAAAGTTTATAAGAAAATCGATCAATATTTACAGATATACATTCGATTTCCCATAAAGATACTGACGTCATAATGTGCGTATTCGTATTTTGACTTCCAAGGCTATTATAATGACGTCACGATGTACTTAATGGCCAAATGAGACATGAAATCATATCTCCGACTCATACTCTATCTAAACAAAAATTGGCAGTCTTTATTCATCCCAATGGACTTTTGATAGGCATGTTTTTGCCAATATATGCTATGTAATACATGAGCTCGCACGCACGGATATTTATCTTCAACGGACGCTCATTCCGTTATTAATAGTGATAAAGAGATGAACATGGTATCAAATTGTTCAAAAAATTATGAGGAATATTCTGTCAAAACTAATATACAAGGAATTATTTTGCGTTCGGCCGTGACAAACGAAAACGTGCAAAAATGCGTGTTTTGCGCGATTTTTTATGAAATGCTTATAATGGCCTTAAACGTATGCAAACAATTTGTTAAACGATTTTGAGCAATTTAAAATTTTACGCGCGCGTTAACGCGCACACAAACGCGTACGCGCATTTTTTCGCGCATTTATTGACCTGAAATTGACCAGACAGATATTGATCTTAATCCTAATAATTATAAATGAGAAATTCCTTTCCGTTATGAAGATATGATCATAAGTTTATTTTCACAAAATGGCGCCTGGATGACGTCACGATAATTTTCACTCTCTAAAAGGTCACGCAGTTCTAAGTTAGACTAAGATCTATCATCATGGCAAGTTTCATGATAATGGCTTTATTCAGTCTTGAGATATCCTGCGAACAAATTCGAGGAATAATAATAAATAAGAAATAAATAAATAATAAAAATCTTGACGAAATCAAAAGGTGATACGTATATTTCATACGTATCACCTAATAAATAATAATAAAAATCTTGACGAAATCAATAGGTGATACGTAGACTTCGTTACGTATCACCTAATAAGTGGAATATAAATGACGAGAAAAATCATTACCATTTTGACAGATTTATCTTTTTTAGACGGAAAACACGAAAATCAAGTCAAAAAAGGTATCTTAAATTAGAGTAATGACTGGAAAGGAAATAGTTACTTCATTTGAAAAACTACTTATCAAAATACAAAGCATGTGAGTAAGTCTATTTGGAATGGAAAGACATTCTGCTGTAAAGTGGCAGTTGCTAGAATTGCTTTTTGTATAGAAAGATGACTTTTGCAACAGCTAAGCGACAAATGTTGAATGGCTAAGATCATGATGAAAAATGTCAGTCGTTTCGTATCCTAAAACAGATGGTGAGCGATAGAGATCGTTGTGGGAATCAAAATTCAAATCTGCTCCGGATATGACCATGCACCCCCATGTTTCATGTGATTACTCGAAATCAAGAGAAGTGCAGTTTCTCTCAATACCGAACCGAACAGTAAAGCACCCTCGAACCCTTTGTCTATTCGATCTTTCACTTATATTAATTTTGAATTCAGAAAAACCTCAATGATTTTCCTCTCCAATGGCGTAATGTTTCTTTCTTTTAATTTCCTATATCGCTCTTTATCTTTAATTTCTTAATGAGCAACGACTACAAATTTTGGTGGATTTTGCTTTACCTAAAAATGTATGTATATAGGTATGTAATCTGTTTAGAATGTGTAGCTTACCTGTGTCACACGTATTTCCTTCGTAGCCAGCAGCACAGGCACACGTGAAGTTGTTAACTCCATCAGTGCAACCTCCTCCATTCAGACACGGATTAGGTGTACAATCGTCGGTATCTGTGCAAAATGAGTTCCAAAGACAATAAGTGGAATATAAATGACGAGAAAAATCATTACCATTTTGACAGATTTATCTTTTTTGGACGGAAAACACGAAAATCAAGTTAAAAAAAGCTATCTTAAATTAGAGTAATGACAGGAAAGGAAATAGTTACTTTATTTTAAAAACTACTTATCAAAATACAAAGCATGTGAGTAAGTCTATCTGGAATGGAAAGACATTTTGTTGTATAGTGGCAGTTGCTAGAATTGCTTTTTGTATAGAAAGATTATTATTATTTGTTTTAAGCAAAACCATATATATGATTTGTTCGTTGGTGTAAAGATTATTAATATAAACCCTGTGAAGTTCTCAAAAGTGAAGAAAAATGTGATCAATATATCAAATGAAGTAAATGATCGGATTCTGTTTTTAAATGTTTGATCCTTTTCCAAAATCATGGCCTTTGAAAGACAACATATCCTGGACGAAATCATTGTCTCTCAAACTTGAATGTGGCACTGGAAGAAAATAAGAACATCACTAAAGAAAGTGATTTTTCATTTTGGGTGGAATTCAATGTACAAATGGACACAGTTGACTTTTGCAGCACCTAAGCGACAAATATTGAATGGCTATGATCATGATGACAAATGTCAGTCGTTTCCTATCCTAAAACAGATGGTGCGCAGTAGAGATCGTTGTGGGAATCAAAATTCAAATCTGCTCTAGATATGACCATGCACCCCCATGAATCATGTGATTACTCGAAATCAAGAGAAGTGTAGTTTCTCTCAATACCGAACCGAACTGTAAAGCACCCTCGAACCCTTTGTCTGTTCGATCTTTCACTTATGTTAATTTTGAATTCAGAAAAACCTCAATGATTTTCCTCTCCAATGGCGTAATGTTTCTTTCGATCATCATCGGCATACTTTCATGATACAGAAATAGCATACGTATCACCCAATTCGTCAAAGTGACGATTTAAAGTCTAGTTCCTATTATTATTTGATATATTAGTAGTAGTAGTAGTAGTAGTAGTAGTAGTAGTAGAAGTAGAAATATAAGTAGCAATAGTAGTAGTATGTATTCATCGATTTACTAATTTCTTCTCCTCTTTTTATTCTTCATCGTTCTTCTTCCTTTTCTTCTACTTCCTTCTTCTTTCTTCTTCTTTTTTCTTCTTTCTTATTTGCCTTCTTCTTCTCAATTTAAAAATAAAGTATGAACATGCAACATTCTACAAATTAGCAGCAACAACATTCAACGAGCGCCTAAATTCTCTCAGATAGAGTTTGGTCTAGAGAGGAATTCTCGGAGCTCCATGACTATTGACACTAGGGCGCGAATGTGCGCTCGTGTCGCAACTTTCACTCTAAATACGCCATGGTGCAGCTACTATTTACCTGGGGCAGGCTCAGTCATCGGAACGACCGGTGAGGGCGGGGTCGGAGCGACGGGTGAGGGCGGGGTACACAAGTCCTCGCTGTCACACACACAAAAGCTTAGGCTGGAATTCAGGTACATCGGACGAAGATGGGACGGAAGGCTGGTTAATGGGTCTGGCGAATCTGCTTTGATAATTGCGACTGTCGCATCATCTAGACATACGTCTCCAGCCGGGATCAACTGGCTATACTGCGCGGGGTTGCATCCTCGGTCCATGGTCGTCAGGACGATGAGACCTTCTGCAAACCGATACATTAGACCACGTTATATTGAGGATGATGATGATTATAATCATAATCAGCATAATGATAATAATGATAATGATCGTGATAAAAAATAAACATCATTAGGTTTATTTCCTCTTTTTAACATCATTAAAAACCAAAACTAATTTAATCAAAATATATGTGGGTCTTAAATCTGTATTTGAGTGATCGTTGAGATGCTCTAACGCAACGTTCAAGTTTACTCCATAAGGTCACAAGCAGTCGCGTACTAGATGTCACCGTAAGCAGAAATCCCTACTCCTAGTCAAACAACCTTTTAACCTCTGCATTCGATATAGGTGAACTTTATATTTTTTAGTAGTGGAGTCAGTGAAAGTGCCAGTTAAATATTTGTTAATTTGTTGTTCCAATTTTCTTTTTGCGTAAGGTTGATGGTGGATAATAATAATACTAATATTGGATATTCATATAGCGCACATATCCAATAATGCCGAGTTAAACAGGTTTCCCTCTGCGTTCGATATAGGTGAACTTTGTATTTTTAGTAGTGAAGTCAGTGAAAGTGCCAGTTAAATATTTTTTTATTTCCTGTTCGAATTTTCTTTTGCGTAAGGTTGATGGTGTATAATAATAATAATAATATTGGATGTTTATATAGCGCACATATCCACCCTGCAAGGTGCTCAAATTGCTCCAATATTACCCCGGCTCTGCTAGGCTACCGATTTCGGTATCATTCAAGGAATTCCTTCCTACCGGTCCCCATTTACTTTAACTGGGTGGAGTGTGGCAAATGTAGATCAATGTCTTGTCAAAGGTCATTAGTGCTGCTGCGGGATTCGCACCGCGGACCTTGTGATCGACAGTCCGGCGGCGTATCCAGTCATCCACGACACCTATACATGTCTTTGTCATGAAACTTGTGACATCTTAATCGCAATCTACCTCTCGAGGCTTCTCAAATGAGTTCATAGCAAAACTTTTCGGTGTTCTAAGACCTCATCGTTATAGTTTATTTGCTTGTTTGGTTTCTGAAACATCTATTACTAGTTTGTTCTTACCTGTCTCATGCCAGAAGTTAAACAGGCTTATAATTGTCACGCAGCTGGCATTTCCTCCGCAATCTGTCGGCCTAGGCTCCGTACATGAGCTTCTAATGATATATGGTATGTTCAAAGCCTCGTCGTTTGTTGAATATACCGCTGAACATTGTTTGCAGGTTATGGCCTCCCCTGCATTCAGAAAAGGAATACATTAAGATTCTTCTCCTTGGTGTTACTCTATCTCTTTTACCCGGTGACAATTGAATACAGGGACCTTTTATTTCGTTTATTTTAGGTATCTTTCTTTTAAATACAATTACAAACAATATATATTTTATCGTTGACCAAAATTTGCTTGAACCTTATGTCTGACAGTACATCGGGCCAGACCCATTGCATTCCCAGTTAATAAAATAATTTTTGATTCATTTCTTTGTTTTACAAGAATCCAGTGTCGTACAATAAGTGCAGGAATTATTACGTTGTAGAACATTCTGCCACTTGAAAGGACACTATTAATTTACTAAACAAGCTCAAATTTTCGCCTGATTGCAGAGCCTACCAATCATTGAACTGATATTTTGACACACTACATACGCAACATAATGAACAAGTCTAGACTGGAATTTAGTATCAATCACCTCCCATAGGCATAACACGCATATTAAGCAAAAATCTGACATATGTCGACTTCAATCACAATTTTCACCGTAATGACGTTATCAAAATGAATAAATATTGGTAATGAACTTGTGGAGGATTGTCTCAGCTACAACATATCAAAGTTTATAAGAAAATCGATCAATATTTACAGATATACATTCGATTTCCCATAAAGATACTGACGTCATAATGTGCGTATTCGTATTTTGACTTCCAAGGCTATTATAATGACGTCACGATGTACTTAATGGCCAAATGAGACATGAAATCATATCTCCGACTCATACTCTATCTAAACAAAAATTGGCAGTCTTTATTCATCCCAATGGACTTTTGATAGGCATTTTTTTGCCAATATATGCTATGTAATACATGAGCTCGCACGCACGGATATTTATCTTCAACGGACGCTCATACCGTTATTAAGAGTGATAAAGAGATAAACATGGCATCAAATTGTTCAGAAAATTATGAGGAATATTCTGTCAAAACTAATATACAAGGAATTATTTTTCGTTCGGCAGTGACAAACGAAAACGTGCAAAACTGCGTGTTTTGCGCGATTTTTTATGAAATGCTTATAATGGCCTTAAACGTATGCAAAAAATTTGTTAAACGATTTTGAGCAATTTAAAATTTTACGCGCGCGTTGACGCGCACACAAACGCGTACGCGCATTTTTGCGCGCATTTATTGACCTGAAATTGACCGGACAGATATTGATCTTAATCCTGATAATTATAAATGAGAAATTCCTTTCCGTTATGAAGATATAATCATAAGAAAATAAATTTTGAACAAATCTCATCGTCTCACAAAACGTAGTGTGTCCATGCGAGTTAAGTAAATTTCACTTAAATAAATTTCTTTCATTTGGGCGTGAAATGAATGTGAAAATGGCATGGGATAGTCTGATCTCCAAGAAATCTCAGCACCAAAAGTTGAATCGCTATAATCAGGATGAATCATACCAGTCTTATCATACCTTAAAACAAATCATAATTATCAGAGATCGTTGTGATTATCAAAATATAAAATTTGCTCTTGAAAGTACCATGCACTCCTATTTTTTAAGTGTATACTCGAAATCAAAAAAGTGTAGTTTTTCTCATTACTAGAAATTGAATATGGAGCAAAAAAATGTTTGAGTATCACTAGTTTTAAAACTGACCTGTGAAAGGGCCTTCACCGTAGATCTCCATACGAAGACTGATGCTGACGAACCAGCTGACAGGCATCAATCGGACATAGCGGCACATTTGGGGTACAGGCAGAGTGTTGGTCACGATGGTGTTGCTGTCAACATTACCGGTGAAGATCTTCAATGATAAAGGAAAATCAATCCACTTTTGAATGACTCAAATGATTCTGCGGTCAATTGCAATTGAACTAAAGACAATCTAATTAAGCATGCTGAAAAATACATATTTTTGCATGGTCAGTGCCTGTCCATTCGTTTCTATTTGAAGTTATATTCTGATGACATACAATTCTAGTTTTCGAGACCTAGTAATAAAATAGGAAAAAACATGATATGGATTGAAGAATTTTGGCTTGAAGTGGATTTCTTGCTCTGTAATATTTACAATTATAGACAGTTCTTTAATCCTACCTAATAGTCTTTTGCTACTATACTTTGTGTATGCAGAATAGTAGATAATACACCTAACATGTTTATGTGTTTTGAGGTAATGACTGCCTTTTTCTTTAAAAGAAAGTATTGTAATATGAAAATATTTTAATTGTTATCAACAAAAATTCAAATGCCTTCAATTTCTACATGAATAGAGTCAATGTAATATTAAAGAATGAATAATCAGAGAACAAACTTACCCTGTCAGCTCCAGGGTTTGTGGAGATGCCCTGCACGGTGTGAAAGTTCGTGCCATCAGTACTACAAGCAAGTTTGTAGCTTGTTACCCACTGGCTTGTATCTTCTCGCCCTTGAGTCGCAACTGAAGTGATACGGTAAAGGTGTAAAAGATCCACCTTGTAGAAAGAAAATAATCGGAGGAAGGATTATTGATGTTAATTCTCATAATCATCAATTTTTTTATCTCCATGACAACCTTTTAACCAATGAGCATGTTCCAAAATATGTCGAATCTATATAATTAAAATACAAATACTAAGAACGCCCCTCCAAGGGCAATATTTAAATTAGAAGTTCTCGACATTGATACTTTAATTGTCTGAGTAATATCGAATAATTAGATTGATGCCCTTAAAAATGGAAACAATTGTTGACTTGGATATGAATAATAATTGGCAATTTTATAGTAGCTTTACCTACAGAGTGGAGATAACATCTCCGAATCCATATGTCACCTCAAAAAGTGGCCAATTAAAACAATTTTAACAGTGTAAGTGAATAGTGACAAAGAAATGACTGGTGACTTTTTCATTGTTGACCTGGTAACAGCAGTAGAATAGGAACCCATATAACTGATTGGTGACTCTTTTGTTACTGACATGGTGGTAGCGGTGTATTATGAACCCATATGCCATATAACTGACTGGTGACTCTTTTGTTACTGAGATCGTGGTAGCGGTGGAATATGAATTCATGCCATGCATATAAATGACGGGTGACTCTTATTGCAGACTTTGTGGCAGTGTATGGATACAAATCAAACTATGGCCTAACATTTGACTATTGACCCTTTCATTACTGATACGGTGGCAGCAGTGGAATATGAACCCATGCCATAGAAAAAAGGGTTGCCTAAATGTTTCGTGTTTGAATTGGCCTTAAGAAATTATTTGCTAACCTGGATCCACTGGTTGACATTTCTTGCTCGTGAACACCAGGCTCCACGCAGGTTGCCGTCTCGAGCCAGGTTAAGACGACCTCTCTCTGCACCATGGTCAGCATTATACTCACTGGAAGCTGTCATACTTGAATCCGGGATAACATAACTCTCAAGCCCCAGAGGGCCAGGCTCATTCAAGATAGCTGTAAGTTAATGCGTGACAATGTATAGCAAAATGTAGGAAGTGGTGGTCAAATAGGCAAAAAGGATCGAATGCCCCTATCAGATTGACACACAATAGACAAGAGTGTAGTTATAATCTGGACATGAGCAGAAAAAAAGATTATTTGTAAAAATTGTAAGGCCCTCTCCAAGACAAGTACTTGATATTTGCTCATGAATAAACAAGCAAAGCATTATATGTTCTACAGGTAGATGTTTTCCTATGAAATGAGGGGAATCAAAAGCTATTCGAGGAGACCTATCCATGTCTAAAACATCCGTGGATATATTATATGGAAGTGGTGGTCAAATAGGCAAACATGATAAAATGCTCCTATCAGATGGACATACAATAGACAAGTGTGTAGTTACAATATGGGCATGAGACTGTCAGTCAAGAAAACTCTCCAAGGATTTCAACACCAATGACAACATGTTTCTTTCTTTCTATTTCCTTGTTTGCTTTTTATCTTTAATGTCTTGATGAACAAGGAGCAATTGCTTTATATAAAAAGTGTAGGTATGTAATCTGCTTTGACTCTATATCTTACCTGTTTCACACGTAGGCCCAGTATATCCAGGATCGCAGGCACAAGTAAAGGTGTTTACTCCATCACTACAAGTTCCTCCATTCTCACAAGGATCGGGAGAACAATCGTTGATATCTGTGCAAATTGAGTTCCAAAGTCAATAAATGGGATAAAAGGGATGAGAAAGTAATGTCCCTTTTGACATATTTATATTCATTATTTTGTCGGTGAACAGGTAAAACGAAGTCAAAACTGGCAATCTTAATACAAATAATTACAGTTCTGGAATAAAGTCTTTCATTTGTAAAACTATTAATACAAAATATAACTGAAATAACAGAACAAAATGTCTCTTTAAATGTTACCATTTTTTTTCTCAAAAACTTGGCAAAAAGTTTGAAATGCTTAAAATGGATTAAAACGTGTGCTAAATGAATTTTAGATAATTCAGAGGATTTTTTTTTTGCGCGCGTGCGTCTTACTAATTGAAAATGATTGGATCGATATTGAACTTGATCAAGATAAATAGGAAGGAGAAATGATTTTACATTATGAAGATATGACCATGACTACAAGTTCCTTTATCATCACAAGGATCGGGAGAACAATCGTTTGAAATCTGTGCAAATTGAGTTTATTGACCATAAATGAGATAAAAGGGATGAGAAAATGATGTCCCTTTTGACATATTTATCTTCATTTGGCGGTGAACAGGAAAATAAAGTCAAAATGGCATTATAAATACAAATTACAGTTCAGGAATAAATTCCTTCATTTGTAAAACTATTAATACATAATTAAAATGAAGTAAATTAACTAAATATCTCTTTTGATGTGAGCATCTTTTTTTTTTTAAACGTTGCCTTAGAAAGAAAATATATTTTGAAAAAATCTCATCTTTTTTACAAAAAACGTAATGTGCCCGTGCCAGACAAGAAAAAAAAATCACTAAGGCAAATCTCTTTCATTTGGGCGTGAAATGAATGTGAAATTGGACGCAGAAATGGCATGAGACACCCCAGCACCAAAAGTTGAATCGCTATAATCAGGTTGAATCATACCAGTCTTTATCATACCCTATAACCAAGGGAGTCATTCCGAGCTTGAGCATGGGGGGAGTTACTTTCAAAGTTATACCACGTTATGTCGCTACACACACACTTTCTTTCTAGTTATTCTGTTTCAAGGCGTGTACTTTCATTGGTGACCGGTTGAATTTTTGTCTTTTTTTTAATCTTTGAGGTTTATCAAATTATTAAAGCGGAAGCTTTGACTTTTCATAACAATTTTAGAGAAAGGCGATTCGTTGTACCGTTCTCGACTCTTAATCCTTGTTAATCCAGCCCACCCCCTCCCGCGCAAAGCGCGTACGCTTTGACTTTTCATTAAATTATTAGAGATAGAAGACGATACGTTTTACCATTCACGACCTTAATAATCGACTGAATTTTTCAAAAATGTTTCTTTTTTGTTCCTTTTTCTTCCTACGTCCTCTTACTTTTTCCTCTTATCTCTCTCTCTCTCTCTTTTTGGCCTACGTTTTTTTGTTGGGGGCGACCGCCCTCCCCCCCCCCCCCCTTCCCTGGCTACTCGCCTGTTTGTGATTATCGCCGACAATTGGTTAACCATGGATGTCAGTTTTCAAGCAAAAACATGAATTCAGGCCCTGGTAATTTAATTACTCTGCATTCTTCCATATTTCTCTGAAGAGTAAATCCCTTCAATTATTTCTGATACATATAGTCGTAATCTATAAGATTTATAGAATGACCAGCATCAATACTGATCTAAGAAAGCAGAGTTTAAAGAAAATATTCAAGGAACTATTGTCATTAGTTTCCCCTCTAAATTAACTCTGTGGGCAGAGAGTTTAGGAAAGATTTGTGGGCTAATTCAAAGTATTTGTTTCAAGGATGAATGGATGACTAATTTATCAACTTTGTGCAAATTAGTTGAGTTAGGAAGCATTTGAAAGATAAAATATTGAAATTTCAAGAATCAATACAAGAAAAGAGAAATATTTACTATGTTGGAAGTAATCACAGGATTCAGAAGGGTCAGAAAATTTATTGCCAAGACAGGGAATTTAAAAATACTTTTTCCCAGAAGAAAAAAGTTAGGGTAAGTCAGGGAATTTGTAAATTTCTTCTAGAAAGTCATGGGAAATCATTTATTCAAGATATTTGTTTATGGTTAGCAAATTCGCGATTGGACTTGCCCTGAGTGCATGGCAGTCAGATCCATTGGTAACTTTGTAAATCAGCATCTCACGTAAGCAATCAGTCATGGAAATTTCCATTTTTCTGCTTTGGACATTCAGGGAAAGTCAGAGAATTTGAAAATGTGTAAATACATGAACCCTGTAATCAATGACTAAATTTGCATAATCGATGAATGGTAACGCTTGGGACATTAAAAAAAACATCATCCATTTTAATGTATTTCAATAGTTTTTAATACATATTATCAACAAAGTGCAGGGACATATAGCATAGGGGGTAGGTCATTCACATTAGGAATTTCAGTATACAACTAATTGAATATCCAAATGAGGGATATTCCAAAATGTGCATGTCCCACGCTTTACTTTTTGAAGATAATATGTTCTAATTATTTCAAGCAGTACATAATGGAGCAGCCCGTTTGCTTACTGGGCTGAGGAAGCATGATCACATCTCTCCTGTCCTGGCTGAGCTACATTGGCTTCCTGTCAAGAGCAAAATTGAATTCGAGGTCCTGCTGCTCACATTTAAGGCAATTCATGGTCAGACCCCAGGATATGTGTCATCTTTAATTGAACGGCGTCATCTTCGCCCTGGACTTTGCTCATATGGCCTTACTCTCCAGATGCCCATTACTCATCTCAAAGGATATGGAGACCGGGCATTTTCCTCTATTGCTCCTCGCCTGTGGAATTCCCTCCCATCATCTATTCGCGAAATTGACAACCTGGACCACTTCAAAGCTTCACTCAAAACTTTACATCTTCCTTCAGACATTTAAATGCTAATTTTATTGGAGGAGCCCGCGCCTTTGAATGTTTTTTGAAACAGATATATGGCGCTATTCAAATGCTGTTCATCATCACCATCATCATTATCAGATAATTTGGCTGCATGCAAAAAAAAAAAGCATCGTCTCCCCATAAATGAGTGGTACGGGGAAATTGCAGCAAATTATCACTTCCAGATCGATTTAGATTGTAGGGGTGTAGTGAGTCTTTAATATAGTGTGGCGACATGCCATGGAGGGCCAAATAAACAAGTAACGTTATTTTTACTGGACCCTTTTCTGGACAGGTAGCCACTAGCCAGGGAAGAGAGCGTAGTCATCATCATCATCGATATACGGGAGTGAGGTAGTCCTATAGATCTCCCGGTCGTGTTCAAAGATATAAGTTCAATTGCCAGTTTGCGACTTAAAACGTAGTGCAGAATGCGTGGATGTCAGGTTACATGAAACATTTTAGCAAGCCAGTGTTTATCTAGACCAGTGTTAAAGATACCTATGTTACGTGCAGTGACTAGAGATTCTGGCAGTTTATTTCATAGCTCGATAACACGTTTACTGAAGAAACAGCCTCTGACAATAAGCTTGTGATGACTATTAAACAGTTTAAACTGATGTCCCCGAGTGAATTGGTACTCTGGTCTCTTCAATTCAATTCAATTCAAGGTTTATTAAAAAATATCTTCGCAGCCGCAAAAGGCTGAATTGCGATACAATTTACAGATAAAAACATGCAGAATTACAAAATATACATATAAATTACAATAAACATACTTTGACATAAATTAAAAATCAAATATAAAATATATAAACAGAAAACCAAAGAGTTCAAAAGTGAGTTTACAAAAATAAAAATGAATACAAAAGAAAGAATGTTTTGGATTGAGTCTGTCAATACCATGAAGTATTTTATAAACCTGGATCACATCAGCCCTCTCACGCCGGTAGCGAAGTGAGAATAGATCGAAATTTGTTAAGCCTTTCAGGATAGGATAATACACTCATACCAGGAATAATTATTGTTGCTCTCCGTTGCATCTTGCGGTCAGCTTTCATGAAACGGGGATTCATGATACCGTACAATGTTGTGGGCGTACCAGAGTTGTGTTCAGAGGTATGAAGATGTCCTGGTTGGTATTGACAAAAGCTCTTAATATAGGCTTAATAGAGGACATTCTTGGTGTGAAAGTAAGGAGTCTTACACTGGAATTTTGGAGGGATTGCAGTCTGTCTTGCTGCTGTTTGGTAAGTCCAAACAAAATATAATAACAAAAGTCTAAGCGAGATGAGATAAATGCATGGATTAATTGTTCACATGCTTGTTGAGTCAAAGATTGTGGTATGAACCCAGGGTTCTGCAGTTGATATCTCACAGACTTTGATATGCTAGATGCATGTTCAATAAATGATATATTAATGTCAAATATCACATTAGGGTTACGACCATTTGAGGCTGGCTTTATAATTTTGCCACCTATACATGCAGCACTAAATTATAGTTATTAGTATACGCAATACGCCTTTCGTGCATTGTATCTGTTCCTGACAATACGTACTCACACAACCAGGGGAGTGTTTCACGAAGACAAAGATGACATTTAAGTTGGAATTAACTATGGCAGGCCGTTCATGCCACTGTTTTAACTCTCACCATTTACTGGCATTGGTCTATCAAGGGACGTACAATTCATGGTCACAAATCTACATAATTTCTTTTAATGATAATTCGTTATTGAAGGAAATAATATTATCTAAAGATCATAATGGTGAGAGCAAACCGTGGCATGAACGGCCTGCCATAATTAAGTCCAAACTTAAAGTCGATCTTAGTCTTTGTGAAACACTCCCCTGGAGGAACTGGGCTTGCCTTCGCTCAATACACATTACAAATTGTAGGGTCTGTGCTTGCCGAATTATTCTACTTTCGTTTTTCCGAAGGTTCATACATCCTGAACACAAATTGGCAAAGTATACCTCAGGGACTCAGGGAGTACTTCATTCATAACATTTGTTGCGTTATTTCGATGGTTCATTGTTCAGAAGGCTCTTAATTCCGAAAAGGAAATAATGTTCATTATTCTAAACGTTGGTATTCTGCACGAAAGTAAAACAAACCCAGCGTTCTATGACATTTGTGGAAATATGATCATTCGGAATAATAAAGCCTATTTCATTTTCTTCTTTACAATCCTTATTTCATCTTCGGATTTACGACCCTTCCAGTTGTTTAACTTTCGAGGTAACGAACCTATATAGAAATACGGACGTCCAGAATAAACGAATCTTCGGAATAAGCCACAAAACTGTTCACAACTTAAAAACCAGTCGCGACGACTACTGGATAGGAGTTCATGAAAGTTGTGTAATCGTTTATTTATGCATCGGCGGTACATTCTACGATACACACTCAGGTGGAATCCTTATTTTCAAGAGGGCATAGAAAAGATATTCATAAAGCACTTCCATCACTTTGGCAGTAATTATTCTGAAATGCAATGAAAAGTGGGACGTCTCCATATGTTGTAAGAGATCTGTGGATATTTTGGGGTAATTTGTACAAGTCCTATATCTATCCAGGGTTCTATCCGGGGTGCGTTATTATTTACCTTCGGAATCAAAACGACACGCAACATTTTACTCAAGTCCAAATATCTTAAAAAAGAGAGTGCAATCACTGAACTGTATTGTAATGGTATGTTAGTTGATTACATATACATTTTGTTTCTCTTCGAATTCTGTGATTTTGTAAAAGCTTTTGCTTTTAGCGCTCCTAAATAATCGATAATATTAGTAGTCGTAAAAGCAGAGTTTCAAAAATCTCAAACTTCATTCTAAATTGTCTTGGTTTATAGTGCAAACCCCAAAATACTATTTCTGTTATTATTAGTGATTCTTAATGATTGATTTAATGCAATAGATCATTGAGTTTTAAAATGGGACAAAAGTTGACTATCTTTCACAGTTGGCCCCAAATTGTATAGTTATTGTCATGCTGAAATGAAACGTATCTAAAATGTTGGCAGTAAATTGATGAATGAAAATTAAATGAAAGAAATGTATACCTTACCATTATTAGAGATAGAGCTTGCCACACTGATGCAGAGAAGAAGCGAGAGTATAGTATAGCCTTCCATCATAGCACAATTTACCCAGGACCATCGGGTAGGATGTATCGATGAAAAGTGTGAATAATTCTTAAAGGAGGGGCGTTTTTATAGAGACATGATAACAAAAAGAGTCTCTCCTTCAGAGATTTGAAAGGAATCGAAATATTTAGCCCTCCCCCTTTCTCGTTAACCAACCGACCGTGGTGGCTGTTACAAAACTGGCTCAAAGAATAGGTACCTGGACCCTGTTATTATACAGTACACGCCGAAAATCTCCGCAACACGATTACACCAGGGAGGTGAAAGAAAGGAGTGGTAACTCTTTCAAACTCATTCGTGAGTTCTAAAGCGTAACAATGGGATGTGTAACGTTCCACTTGGCTTTGAAGTTCCATGCTCTGAACCGCACTTCCACTGCGGGGAATTTCGGAGGCCATGCACCAGTTTCACATTTATTAAAAATATCAAATTACCGGCAAAATTTCAGTGTAAATTATAAACTTTGTACGGGGAATGTAATGGGAATAGTGCACCAAACATTTTTTCCAATTTAGTACTACGTCCTTCCTATAATTTGTGTGCCCGAGTTGGTAAAAGAAAAATTAGATCCTGACAAAAACTCAATATTTTAGGATAATACGCTAATTTGTGCGTGTTTTAATGCCCCGTTATTTAATCCATGATATACGATCTTCGATAACTATAAGTTGGCTAATGCGTGTTTTCGCGTGTGTTCTGTTTTTTTTTTTGCAGTTGAAAAAGGATGAAATTACACAAGTTTGTGTTCGCTTGTTTTGCTCATTACACATTTACAATTGATGAGAAATCATTGAAAGGGACAGCGAACAGTTGCTGTGATACCATTCCTGATGTAGGAATTCTAGATCCTGAAATTTCATGCGCTCTTTTGTCTCATCACCTGGTCAACAGTTGCAGATTAGCGCATAACTTTTCGGCGGTTTGGGGCATGGGGTCAAAGGAGAGCGGCTTGTTTCCAGTCCTTCTCTATCACGTCCCTGATTACACGATTTTTATTTTGGATTACACGGTTTACACGATTCACCTATATCGTGTTACCGTGTAATCGTGTAAATTTACACGATTGAAGAATGTCGCTCTGAATCGTGTAATCGTTTAAATAGTTAATTGCATTGGTGGGATTATTCGACAAGATGCAACAAACGTGTAACTGTGTAATCGTGTAAATTTACACGATTGAAGAATGTCGCTCTGAATCGTGTTATCGTGTAAAAAGTTATAAGGGTTATAAGGGCATTGGTAGGATGATGCGACAAGCTGCAACATTCGTTAAATCGTGTCTTGCTTACACCAATTGCTTTATACGCCACTTACCTTCAGTGTACATCAGGTAATTACTGTACTTTATATTCGTGTATTAAACCTCAGTGTTATGTTAAGAAACAGGTTCATTGAAACTAACATGCAATTGAAATTAACATGCCACTTAGAAATGCAGTGCAGTTGTTTAGGCACAGCTCATTGTTATTCATATTAGATGCATACACACAATTCAAGTTTATGCAAGGGTCTTCTGTTAACTACACATATTGATGCATATGTAAAAGCACATGGATATTGAGTCTGGATTAAACTACCAAAGCAACCACACGTATTTCTGCAGGCTCCATTTTGTTTGTCTCTATACTTACATTTATTTAGCGTAATAGTTATTACTTTCCAACCCACAACACAACAATCAGCACTTTCCACAGAACAGGTGGTTTTATCCATCATATTCAAACAATCTTTCTTTTTCTTCAACGTAGTTCACTTTTCCAGCATAAAATAAATGACCATCTGAACATCTGAACTAGGACAAAAGTTTAACTAGAATATGCCTCTCTAAACATCACAACAAACTTCTCTTGAGGTTCCTTATATGCTGGATAATTTTCCCCTTTTTTTTCCATTCATTACATTTATTTCCATTTCCAAACCTAAAATGAAATAACAAATTGTGTTGACATGGACAGGGCATGATTGATAATCAGTTAACAAATTTACAAAAAAAATAAAAGTACAAGATTTGTATCATAAAGAACTAACAATTACTTAAAACTTTCCATAATGTCCGTGAAATTGCATGATTTTGTTAAATTACCGAACAATTGAACAATAGAAGAGAAGAACAAGAGAAAAGTTGTTTAGAAATGCAAAGGCCGACATGGAAGCCATGCACTTGAGAATTAAAGGCCCCTGGGCCAAAACACAGTGTATCTTATTTAGACTTATCAGAAAGAAGAAAAAACGCTTTCAAAAGCTTCTCTAATACTTCTTTCACAAAATGTCCGTTCGGCTCAATTTAAATAGTTTGCATTCTATAAATGCGTGATTCATACCCTCTTTAATATTACATTTTGGGCATACATCATCAGTGGATATTCCCCATTTGAAAAGATTACTTCTTACTGGCAATAGATTATACAGTAATTTCAAGTTAAACTCTTGTAATTTGCTTTCTCTAATTTGTGAAAGATTACGCTCGAATACCATAGACCAATCAATATCTACATTGAGTTTTTTCCGAATAAAGGCAACATGTCTTAGTTAATACAGTTCACGAAGGAATGAGTTTATAGAAACGATTGCTTCTTACATCCGTAACATGTTTTACCTTATTTGCAACCAACAGATATGAAACTTTGTTTTCATTTTCTTGTCTAGTATATCCATGCATAAATTCTTCTTTTAAACTATTGACCCATACAGGTGGTAACGCTCGTTTAAGTCTTGCATAGTCAAACATTGCATTGCATTTTCGTATGGAATGCACCTGCGATATAATATATTCTGCTGACCGAAAGCCATCTCTCGTAAGAAGGTCTCCTAAAAATACTATACCACTGTTGTACCAGCCTTTATAAAAGAGCGACTGATTATCATACACCACATGTTTGTTGTGCCAAATAATCTGATCTGAAACTTTCACTGGCTCATTTATACTAACATCTTTCACTGTAGTGCAGTATCAAATCATTTCCCATACCTTTAAGATTTCTACGTAAAATGACGGAATTTTCTTTTGAACTAGAATATCATTAAGTGTGATTATATTATAAGAGTAGTTCAACAATAAATTGATGCCTCCTAATAAGTTGAACCAGTAAGAAAACAGTTTTTCCACGCTCCATTACTCTCCGTGAAAAATCTACCCAACCATTTTAGTCGGAAGTTGAACAATTGCCTTTGTATGTCAAGTATTTTTATACCACCTTTACTGTAGTCTTCCATAAGAGAAACCCTTTTCATTTTTCTGTTTTCCCACTCCAAATAAATTTGAATATAATGCCTTCTATCATCTTCAAAAAGTTTGGGGGATGGAATCAACCATGATCAAGTGAGTGACTTGGCTAAGTGCTAGACTTTTCAGTACCGTGACTCTTCCAAAAATGGTCAAGCTTCTTTTTGTCCAGCTATCAAGAATGTTCCTCAATTTTATCAACTTCTGCTCCCAGTCCATCTTTAGAGCTTCATTATTATTAAAATATATATAGTGACCTAAATATCTTAGGCTTGTGGGTCCATTTCAGATCATGTTTCTCTAAATTCCAACTTCTATCAGTGTCTCCTAACCATATCATGGCTGTCTTTTCTTTATTTATTCTTGGACCTGCTACTTCGCCAAACTGATTCAGTTCATGTAAAATTCCCTATAATGAAGTTTCATCCGGAACAAAAAATAATACATCGTCGGCATATTGCAACAACTTTAGTTTAAGGTCATACCCGACCATTTCTATTGGTTCAATATTATTATTTTGTCTCGCTTTGTTTGCCATGAGCTCGGCAGCTAAGATAAACAGCAGTGCTGACAATGGACATCCTTGTCGTATGCCTCTTTCAATTATTTTTTTTGGAAATCCACCCATTAACCAATACAGAAGCCAATAGCCAAAATAGTTTCTTTTTAATTCATTTAATCAAGAACAGTATCTCCAAATCAACTTTAAAAATTGTTTTTCAAAATTTCATGGCTCAGGAGGATCTGTTCTTTTTAGAGGACCTATAATAATATGCTATCTATAATATATTTTGAGTAGTGCCTCAAAGGAGAAGGAACTTACGAGAAAAACAGAAATTAGTGATATTTTTGTATTAGAAATAAACCACGTTTGAATTTTATTTTGGGGGTCAAAACCTTGTAAATTTCGCATTGTATTATGTTACATAATTATAAGCTACGAAAAACGTTGAATTTAAATGGCTGTGGGGATTTTGTAATAGAAATGTAACACAGTCTGCTGTCTAGGCGATAACTAAGGGGAAATATTTCGAATCCTTTCAAATCATTATCTGAGGGAAATGTTCCTTTGGTAACATTTCACCATAAAAACGTACATCATTCAGGAATTAGCAACACTTTTCATCGAAACACCTACCCGAAGGTCCTGGTTGAATCGTACTATGATGAAAGGCTAAACTATACTATCGCTTCTTTTTTGCCTCAGTGTGGCAAGCGTCTTCTCTAATAATGGTAAGGTATACATTTCATAGATTCATATTTCATTCATCCATTTACTACCAACATTTCCGTTGCATTTCATCATGACAACAACTATACATTCTGAGTAACGGGTCGGCAACTAGATAGGATGGTAATCAAATCCCACCGCAGGTTTAGACGTATTGCCTGCATCAACGCATCCGGGTATGTGACTTTCAAGGAGGAAATTACCATTTCTATCCCTCGTGACGACTATTTTGAATTGTCTACATTTTTTTTTAAAAATCAAGAACCTTCTGGGGCTCCGCCCCCTAGACTCTTGACAAAGGCCCTGCCCCTGCACCCTATCCTTAAAGATAAAAGTGGTTTCCAAGACAAACTTTTGTTGTCTAAAATTGGAGAGAGTGTGAGTTATATGTAGTTTAAGCTTCTAACAACCACTCCCATGGACTTTTTGATTATGTACACAATTTCTGGATGTCTGCTGTCTCGAGATCACTGGAGCGAAGGAAGCTAACAATATAGCAAGAGTCCCTATTCAGTGAAGGATTAATCTTTTATATCAAGATGGTTTCTCTACCATTCTTGACCAGAAGTGCGTTTCAGACTCAATGATTCGGGCATTATC